TAACTAAAACGACATATTATGTTCAGAAACATTAGATATTATGTTTTACACCTGTACTCTCTCTTAGCCATCTTAAATTTTCGTAAAGAAAAAAGTTGGGCGTCTTTTCAAAACGAAGCTACGCAAACTTTTGGGTTCTATAGCCAAAAGGCTATAACGGAAACCCTACAATTTCGCCTTAACCGTCTGTATCTCTGTCTGTATGGCACAACCATTTCACTCAAAGACTATTTATTATTAGAGATGCATTATAAAAAATTAGTAAGTAGTTACAGACGTGTCTCATGTAATTTATTTATTTATAGGACACACAGTTGTTAAAACATTATATATATCTTATCTAAAAACCTAACACAAAAATCAAAATATAGAAAAATGTTTAACATTTGAAGGTGTCACAATATGCATCATATTATTTATACCAAAGCCCTATACAATATCTACGAAATTATTATAATAAATAACAAAAATAACATACTACTGATATAATTAATAACAAAAAGGAAAAACTAAAAAGAAACAGATTCAAAAAAAAAATACCAAAAAAAACATAACCTTAATTTTTTTTTTAACTTTTAATATACCCTTCTTAACAACTATTGGGTTGTCGCTAAAAAGTAAAAAAAAAATAATAAATTATCGTAAACATTGTGCGTTTTTCTTGCTGAAAGTAATACCTACTATTTAAACTGCTACTAATGCAAACTTAAATAAAAAAAAAGTAAAAAAAATAACTGATTGGTAGTTTTCATTTACTATAGGATACCTAAGTAATCAGATATTGTCGGACTCGAAGTGCTTTGTGTATCGACTGGCAGTTTTCAATTAATTTTCGTTTCCTGGTATTTTTTACAGATATTGTTCTATGAAAATGTTCCTTATCGTAAAACATTTTACGGAACGCTTCTATGCACATAAAGCATTGTTGATAAATATTATAATTTCATTGCAGTTAGTATTTTCGTGAAAAAACCTACATAGTAATTCTATAAATAATATTCTACTTACTTCATTTCCGATTACGCGTATTTACCGGAATACAAATATCAGGTTGTCGTACGAAACCCTTGGTGTCGAAGTCCAACTTACACTTACCCGATTTTTAAATTGCGCTAAATTTCTTTTAAATGTCTCGCTTATTATATTTTAAAAAAATGCTGTGTTGCTATTTAATAAATTACTATTGCTGTTTTTTATTTTATTTATTTATCATTCACTAACGGCTCGCCCTCGTTTCGCTTGGGATCCTCCTTAATTACGTTTATCGGTTAGTACGGAATAGATAGACTCGTATATTATACTGCTCCGCTCCCTTGGGTAGTAGCATGATAATATATAGCATGGAGCTTCCTCAATAAACGGGCTATCTAATGCAAAAAAAAAATCAAATCGCATTAGTAGTTCCTGAGTTTAGCGCTTTCAAACAAATACACAAACAAACAAACTTCATCTCTTTATAATATTAGTATACATAAGTCATAAAAATATAACTTAATGATAAAAGTTACATCAACGTCCGCCACAGACAATACAACCGGCATATCGACAATCGACATTAACAACTATATCGAAATCGTCCCATATGAATGAAAATTATTTCTAAAGCACTCTAGGTTCAACGTGTCTACTCCAAGCTGTCTTGTTGCGTCTCTACTCGTTCATCCAAAATAGACTCGCACTCTAACTCACACTCAATGAATGCATGGCATTTGAATTGTTATTTTCGTACACAAATAAATAAAAAAATATTACGCGAATAATAAAGCAGACTAATGTAGATAATATAACTACAGATACTTTGCGTGGTTTTTTATTTGAACATTGTCACATATTTTATAATTTTAAAAATAAAGTTTGTTTACGGTAAAGCCAAAAATGCAGTATTTTAATGAAGGTTTAATTTTTTAAATAAATGTTACGTTTATTAGGAATTATGAGACGGCCGGATGAGGATTTTCAAGGTATTCCCATGCCATATAACATAAGTTTTAGTTGTTTATTTTATACTAGCAGTACCCGCGGCTTCGCCAAACTTCTGATCGCTAGCAAAATTCATAGGATCACCCGCTGGGCTAATCTGAAAATTTCATCAATATCGCTCCAGCTGTTTTAGAGTCTAATCGAAACATAAATACACTCATCGATCTTTATTTTATTTAATCAACAATTTATATTTATTTATTGCTCGGAAAATGGAGTCTTTTATGAAAATTTAGTGACACACCGACTGCAGCGCCACCTATCGATCTATTTGTGAATTCAAACCTTGCAGGGATTCGAACATACACAAAAAATATCATTTAAATCGTCCCCGTCATTTAAGAAATTATCAGTGGCACAACGACTGCAGCGCCACCTACCGGGTTTAATTGTATGTTCAAACCATCCAGGAGCCCATTGAAATATACACACAAAATTTCATCCATATCGGTCTAGCCCTTTAAGAGGAGTAGGTTAACAAACACACGTACAGAAGAATTATATTATATTAAGACACCTACATATAATAAAATTCTACCTGGGTCAAATCTGTAAATTATAAATATATTTTTATTGAAAATCTTATTGAAATAGTCATTAATATCGATATAGAGACTGCTACTGGACTGATTTTGATGGTATGATGATAGTTGGTTATCCGGGTAAACATTACAGGATACTTTTTAGTGCGGGAAAATGTGTAATCTCTGAGAAATCTAGGTGTACTAACCGTTAATTAAAAACTAAATATAATATTGGATTTAGTATAAATCAATTATTATTGTTACAATGGTTTTTGTTGTCAAAACTCTTATAAGTAGGCAGTTATATGGGCAGTACACTAGACGTTTTAAAACCCCGGGTATTGAAGGAAGAGTCAGTTTATATCTTTTACGAAGAAATAAAAAATATTAAAAATATATAATGCGTAATTTATTTGTGTATAATCGTTTTACTCTTAAGGGTTAAAACTATTATATAGTAAAATATTATGTATGTTTCTAAATTCGAATAGAAGTTCTAGAGATTAGCACGTTCAAACAAACAAATAAAAAAAGGGTCGTTATATTTATTAGTATAGGTCAGGGTTCGAAACGATAATTATCATTGATAAATATCATGATAAATATGGGTTGATAATTATCTTTGATAAATATAATTGAAAATATTTAATTTGTAACTCTTCAAATTGTCGATCAGCTAACTGAACTCTCTCAATTAGTTCAAAAAAACTCAATCACCAAACTGAGTTAATGCAGTTGAGGAGGATGAGGATCATATTCCACTCATTAAGGAGTCTGTCTACTACACCGCCTCATACCATGACCGTGCTATGAACGTATCAGGCACGGAAACAAGCGACACGGACTACTATGCCCACTAGAACGTATCATTCGCGTATCATCCGCGTGCCATATCGTATCGGCACCGGCAAATTATTCTTGCCGACAATTATTGTTAACTTTCCATGCACGGCACGCGACGGTGTTGGTCGGTGACGGAAAGGTCTTTGTCGGTGATGGAAAGATCTAGTGGGCATAGTTTCATACTTTTCAATACAAAGCATATTTTTTTGCCTGACACGGTCCTAGTATGACCCACTGTCATGGTATGAGACCGTATAGTGGGCAGAGACCTTTAATTTAATTAAATAGTGTCTATATAGTTGGTTAATTTATTCTGTTTTTATTTCCAAGTTTGTACATGTCAAAATAATGAAAAAATAATAATAATAAAAAATTACCTTGATTGTTAAAAGTGTATAATTTATTCTAACGTAAATTATGATAGGCAAGTAGTCAAATAGTAATACCTACACAAGGATTGTTGAGTTTATATCTGTTTGATAAGTATCGGATAATTATCTGATAATTATAGCGATAATTATCAAAAGATATATTTATCTTAATAATTTCATACCCTGGTATAGGTTGATTGACCAGCGCGGCGGTGGGATATTAGTAAAAAAGGACGCACGTGGCGAAGTTAGCGCTTAGCGCATTACAAATGCGAGGGCGGGTCACCAATAGATAAAAAATACTGTGTGGGACGTCGATCCTGCACCCGCCTAGATACTAGAGCGCCCCATTTAAATAAATATTACACCAACGCGTACATAAAACGCCTTTGGAAATACGGTACATTGATTAATTGGTTAAAAGCTATTTCAAATATATACATAATAATTCATTATTGAATATAACCATAAATAAAGAAATTAACCAAAAAACCCGTCAAGAGCGAGTTGGATTTGCACACTACTTTGTACTAAACGGTCCTTTTTATTTTGCATGTCGGCCATTTTGAAATTCACCATCTTGTTTTTATAATTTTTGTTGTTACAGCGGCAATAGAAATACGCACTCAATTTTAACTCTCTACCTATTATGGTTCATGAGATACAGCCCCCTGACAGACGGACGAACGGAAAGCGGAGACTTAGTAATAGGACTCCGTTGGCACCTTTGGGTGCGGATCACGAAAAGGACACTTTCTCCATCTGTTATTTTTGTGTACCTATGTTTTTCGACATCCTTAACATTGTGAGAGGTGGTTGTAGTAAAACTTTTGTATTCAATAGACTATTTTTATGTATATTTAAATTTAAAAACACTTTCTTTCTTAGGCGATGATATAGCTTTAAGCTTAAGTGTACTAACTGGCAAATTGAAGTCGGTAATGCAATTTTTGGATCCTGCTGGTTGTCTTTTACAACTATATTATTGCCTTTGAGACATCTAAAACCTTAGTCTCTCTCGTGACCATAATTGCTGTAAAGCGTTCGAAACGTCGGGAACCAAATATGAAAATAAATCCGCAAAAAATCCGAAAAGATAGTTTTATTTAAAGCATCTACAACCTAGCAGCAGCAGTACCTAACAACATTACAATGCGGTAATGTAGAGTTGGCCTGATAATGAAGCCAGAAGACCATAGAAACTTTTCATGTATACAACTAAGTAGGATAAATGAAAATTTGACTTTTAAAATGATTTTTGATGTTACTTTTTTATTTTCAGGCCACTTCCTGTACCTACCCGTGGATCCCACAATGGAAAACATGGTGATTAAATCTCCTCCTTTCCGTGGTTTATGGGAGTTTTGTAAGGTAAGTTTTCCTTTATAAATTAAACGTATTTTGATAAAACATTGCCGACTCTACTTGATTTTGCTACCAATCTTAGACTACACCTGAATTCTTTCCGGTCGTGTACGATTGTCGTTCCACGGGCCTTTGAAAGTGAATGGACTTGAGAGTGCTTTTTTTGTTTGCGAGCATTTTAATGCATTACTTCCTAGGTCTCCTTAGCAATTGTGTAGTCTCACTAAGACCATCGGTTTTTTGGAGGATTTTAGTACTGGGTTAGTCTGGCCCAAGCTTAGCTTATCAAACTTAAATTTATCTATATACTAGCAACTCACACTCGCTTCGCTCGGGTTCGTCCCTAACTTGATTCCCCATACAAACTTTCATCCCCATTTCCACCCCTTTAAGGGATGATTTCCGGGATAAAAAGTATCCTATGTCCTTTCCAGGGTCTCAAACTATCTCTTACCAAATTTCATCTAAATCAGTTCAGTAGATCCAGAGATTACCCCCTACAGCGTCACAAACTCACCAACTCACAAACTTTACCTGTTTTTAATATTAGTATAGAAGTATAGATTAATAAAGATATTTTGATAAACAACAATTATTAAATAAAATTTCTCTTTCTCTCAGTTCGAAGCGTGGCTTCATCAAAGCAAGATGCAAAACGCCAGCATAAGGCTTGTATCCGAGTCCACAATGTCGGAAGTACAGTGGATATTGCAAGAAGTTGCTGGCAATAATAACGAGAGGTAATTGATAATCATTCTACGTATTAATTGAATAGAGGTTTTGTAACTTTTTAGAGTTTTCAAGAGAATTTGATTAAAAAAGAATTTTTTAAATAATTTTGCAGTTTTGTATAAAGCAATTGAGATTATAAGGTATTTGAATACAACAGAAAAGTTCGTTTTTTTTTAGCTTTATGGTGTTTCATTTTGCGTGAAATTGGCAAAATGACTTATGCACTGGCATGTCTAGGAAATGTCTGATATTTATTTAATCCCTCCACGACCGCGGACACACCGGCGTGTCAGTTAACAATATATTTCTTAGAAGTTTCATTAATTTCTTCGAAACTAATACCTGGAGGTGCTAAAAGGTAAATTACCTTATTGTCCGTTACATAGTACACTATTTTCTTCTCAGATGGGAACCAATGCGTTTTATCATCGGCAAGGTCCAGCAAGAAGTTCGGATTATAATTGAGATAACCCGACCGAGTCATGTGAGCCTGACCCAGACACTGCCTTATATAGCGGTGGACAACATCCGCATGGTGGAGTGTTTGCCAGAACCACCTGTATTTAATGGCGAATGTCAGAATGGACAGCTAAAATGTAAAATTATGAATGTAAGTATTATTACCTATTATTATAAATATGAAAGTTTGTCTGTGTGTATGCATGTTTTGTTACTCCAGCACGCTCAAACGGCTAAATGAATTTGGATGAGATTTGTACCATTTGTTGTGTGATTATATACCAATCCATATCATAGTATATATGTATATATACTATCATCTGGAGTTACACATGTCGCTGTCTGTAGGTATATATGTTTAATATTAACGAATAACGATATAGGTAAAGTCGCTGGTATAGGCAAATAATAATAAATTTTGAAGGAATTCATTGGTATTCTATTTTACAGTATTATATAAGATGAAACATGTTTGTTTGTATGTATATATGAAAATAACTACTAAAACCACTAGTTGGTTGAAAAGTTGGTTCTACATATATTTTTAATAATAGAACTATATAAATTATTTCTGAGTAACATTATGCAATTGTAAAACCGATATAGAGACAAAGATGGAACATTAAAAATATAGAAGAAGAGAAAGCAAGTTTTGAAAGTACTTAAGAAAAAAACTTCAATCAGTAAGTCAGTAATGGTTGATCTGGTAACAAAGCTATTACTGATAAATTTCAACTAAAAAATTAATATTTTTTCTGACAACTTTGTTGTATAGAGAATAATATATTTAATCGATCTAAATTATGACGAGGACGACACTTATATTTTTTTGAGTATAAATACGCGGTACCGTCGCCGATTGTGAATCGATTTTCATAATTCTTTTTTTTTTATGAATAAATTATCGAGTTACTGGATAACGCCCGGAATGCAGTTAGGTATCAGCAAAGAGAGTCGTTCGAAAATCGACAAGCAAAATAAGATTACATTTCATTTAGTCCACATATCGATTTCATATGGTTTCATATTAAAACGATATAAACCAATTATTCAACCCGCAGTACAATATCCGTTCTGTGACTGACCCACTTTGCAGTTACGTCTTTATTTCTGATTGTCCTACATTTTGAATTATTAAAAGAATAAAATAAGAATGTTGTTTTTGATATCATGAATTTTTAGGGTTCCGATTTCTATACCAAAAATAGAACCGCATGTCACAGTAATTTTACTCAGGACTATTCAAATTATTTACCTAAAAATTATCCACTAGAAAATACCGTAATCAAATTATTAATAAAATAAAGGTGAAACTCCATATATGTAACTGAGGGTATATATATATATATATATATATATATATATATAGCCTATCTGACTCCAGTCTAAAAACTATAAACCAACAAACAGTTTTGGATTTGTAATACTATTAAGGATTTAATTAATTAAATTAATTTCTAAGCTAATTATATAAATTAATTAATAACTAAAAATCCTTTGTAGAAGGAGTCTTGCATAAAACTGCAGCAAGTCTGTGACCTGGTGAAGGATTGTGACGATGGGAGTGATGAAAATCAAAATTGTGGTATGTGGAGAGTTTTTTTGAAAAATATATTTAACGGTTTTTGTAAAATAATATAGTAGTAGTATAGAATATTATTTGTAAAATAATGTAAAACATAATATAATTTAAAATCATATTTTTTAAATATTTGTTTTTTTTAATTTCTTGCAACATACCTGACTAAAAAGTCGGGTATAAATAGGATCACAAATGCAGCAAATTGTGTTTTTTTATGTTACTATAAAGACCTACCACCAGTAACCTACCACTAATACCACCAAAATGGATTTTTAGGCAGAGTATTTTGAGTTATGCGGTATTTTTTATTCCTTGAGAACAGATGTGAACAGATAAATATAAAGTTTCTTTTCTTTGTTGAATTTTACAGAAATACACATATTTTGTATTGTTATAATTAATTGTTATGTTTATTTACATTTTTAATACTTGAAACATATTTGATATTTTTTATTATTTATTGCAGATAAAATGCCATATGGTTCTTATTGCAATTTTGAACAGGACGCGTGTGGTTTTGAAAATGTACCACAGTGAGTATTTTTTTTAAAACTAAAATTGTCTGTATTTCAGTAGAAAAACATATCTTTCAAACAATTTTATTTACACATATTTAAAAAAACCATTAAGAATTAAAAAAATATTGTTTTTAATATCAACATTGGCTATAAATATTAACCATACATTTTTCTTCTAGGCCCATTCTAAAATGGTCGCGTCATAGTGGTCCAACTCCCACAGACAAAACCGGTCCAAATTACGACCACACATGTGGTCCACCAAAAATCCATACAACTGCTAACCCCATCGTCCCCCTCTCCCCCTCCCACATGAACTACACCATCAATTGTGTAGGATATTATTTCTTTGTAAATATGAATGTGACTGGACCAAATCAAGAAAGGGCCGATTTCGCTTCAACTGCGGTTATGAAGACGATAATCTTCAATCCGCCCCCCAAAATTCACGGAGATATAAATTCTAGATATTATAATTGTTGTATGGTAAGTGCTTTGATGTTTTTATTATTTGTGATATAAGTTTAAGAAATAATTATATTTGTTGTAATATAAACAACACACTAATAATACTTGTGTAAAGAGAGTTTTACAGGTTATTTAAGTGACTTATTGTTGATTGCCTTAATTAACTTGATTAATTTTGAAAATTAGCAAGTACTTAATGTTAGGTTAAAAGAACAATTAGATATATTCTTTGTATGTATGTTACGCGACGCGTTTTTTTTATTAACAATTTTTGTAGTGCACACATGATTTTGAAGTTGGCGTGTCTTTTTTTATTTAAAAAGTAATTCGTTTTACAGCCTGTTATGGTTTTCTATCCAAAGGTTTATGGGAATTGTATAATACAACTTAACCTGTATATTCCATCTTTAAATGAAAGCATGTACCTTCAGAATAATTATTCTCCTTACGGTGGATAACAATTACATTAAAAAAATTATCATCAAGTATGTCCCTATACACGGAAACAAAAAGTTTTTTGTTAAAAACCGTAACACATTAAAAAAACCAATATGTCGTTACTGTACAAAACCTTAATAAAAACATAAAAACCTGGCCAAGAATGAGCCGGATTCATGCGTACAAGATTTCGTACGCATGAATCCAGCAGTAGAAAATACATATTCACACTTGACCGAATTTACTAAAAAAACATATTATAGAATATTTATTTGCTATTTTCCTATAGATAAGATTCTACTACCAACAAAATGGTCGTAACTACGGATCTCTAAGTGTGGACGTCGTAGAGTTGACTCCACGCGGCAATGTCACTACATCACTTTGGTTCTCTACAAAAGACAAAGGCGAGAACTGGTACGGAGCTGGGATATTCTTGCCTAATATAACAAGGAGGTATGTTATATTTTCTTAGATTTACGCGATTATTTAACATTTTAAATAAAACTATCTTTTCGGATTTATTCGCTGGCAGGCTGTCTGTAACAACTTTATAATGCCTTTGAGACATCTAAAACCTTAGTCTCTCCCGTGACCATGATTGCTGTAAAGCTTTCGAAATGTCGGAAACCAAAAATCCCCGAAAAAATCTGAGAAGATAGTTATTTAAAAAGGACGTAAGTTGTTTGTAATGTTTTTTTTATTTTCTCGCTCAAACGTTAGGGGGTTAACCAACAAAATCGACAATGTAAATAGGTGTTTAAACATTACTATGCTTACGTCGATTTTCCATACAAACATTCATTATTTACGATTTCTCATTTTTTTTGTTTTATAAGATAGTTGTGTGCTAGATTGAGCGGTTTAGGTAGAGTCAGTTAAAAACATAGGATTTTTTAATTAAATTAATAAAGCTTTATTTTTCAATATCGAATAAAATGCATTTCATAGGCTAGAATATATTTCTATAACAAGTATTTAATAGGCGGACTTAGCCAGCGTGGTTCTCTCTTCGCAATCTTCAATGCTAGAGATGCCCGTGGTATATTAAAAAGAGTTGAATGAGATTATTATTACTGAATACTTTTTACGCTTTTACCACGGTAATGTTACTTATAACATTACTGTGCTTTTACTTTTGGGGGGTGAAGTTGCTCGCGTCCGTAGGATTTTCCATCTTTCCTTAAGACACACCCTACACGTGCCCCCCGGGTGGTGCTAAACGAGCAACAACGCCGAGAATCAGGCGGCGGACTTTGAATAACCTGACCACACAATCACGGTAATATTTAAGCATTACATTACCGTGACACAACTTCCATTGTGGCGACTAACAGAAAAATACTGTGCGTGCGTAAATAAATTGACTACTTACTGCAGCTACTTATACTTATTCTTCGTGAATATTATTAACCAACTTCCAAAAAGGAGGAGGTTCTCAATTCGTCGGAATCTTTTTTTCAACCGACTTCAAAAAGGAGGAGGTTCTCAATTCGACTGTATTTTTTTTTAATGTTAGTTACCTCAGAACTTCGTCATTTATTAACCGATTTGGACAATTTTTGTTTTGTTTGAAAGGGTATACTTCCAGATTGGTCCCATTTAAATTTCAAAAAAAAATCCACCCCTAAGGGTGGAAAAATAGCTAATAATGAATTTAACCTACTTCTAATTGTCATATTGACTTGAAACTTTGCAAGTGTTTCTATTTCCGTTGATAGTACAGTGGTTCGGTATGGTTGACCTGATCTGATGGTAAGGCCAGAAGGTGGATAGGTGGAACTCTTCAACGACTAATAGTAGATACTTTGAGTTTGGGCTTATTTTGTTTGGTTTGACAAGTCTAACACTTCAGAATTCTTACTTTGCTACTACTGTCTACACTAAAAAGGGAAAAATAAAAACTTTTTAACAAAAAAATAAAAACCGACTTCAAACAAAAGCACTAAAAAGTAAAAAATAACTGATTGGTAGTTTTCATTTACTATACATACCTAATCAAATATTTTCGAAGTCGGTGTGCTTTGGCTAAGTAATTAAAGTCTACCTATTAAATACACACCTAATCAAATATTTTCGAAATCGGTGCCAGCCCATACAAAGCAAAGCACACCGACTTCGAAAATATTTGATTAGGTATGTATAGTAAATGAAAACTACCAATCAGTTATTTTTTACTTTTTAGTGCTTTTGTTTGAAGTCGGTTTTTATTTTTTTTTGCTAAAAAGTTTTTATTTATGTATGTTCACCGATTACTCAAAGACGCCGGAACCGATTTGGAAATATTTTTTTTGTTTCAAAGGGTATATATACTTCCCAGGTGGTCCCATATAAATTTTATCGAAATCGGTCAAGCGTTTTTTTAAATCAACAAATAAATTATTTTTTTAAATATTATTGCTTAATCGAATATGCTATTAAAAAACTTTCTTCTAACAAATTACCTGCTTAATATGTCTACACTAAAAATGGACAAATAAAAACTTAAAAAAAATAAACCGACTTTCAGGCACTAAAATGTAAAAAATAATTAAACGGGGCGTTTCATTTAGAATAGATACCTAATCAGATATTTTCAAAGTCGAGTCCACGTGTGCATTTTAAACCATCGAGGAGCCCATTAAAATATACACACAAAATTTCATCCAAATCGGTCCAGTCCTTTAGGAGGAGTAGGTTAACAAACACACGTACAGAAGAATTACATATATTTACATATATATGTATATATATATATATATATATATATATATATATATATATATATATATATATATAATTTGTAGCTACAACCAAACTTATAACTTGATCGGTTAAAAATTTCAACTGATAAATATTATGTAATGACAAGACAAGAGCCATATATAAATTTTCATCCACTGGACGGATTTTGATGAAATTTGGTATGATGATAGCTGGTTGTCCGGGTCAACATATAGGATACTTTTTGTTGTGGGAAAATATCTCATTTCTGAGAAATCTATACTAAACGTCAAAACGCAAGTAGGGACGAACCCGAGCGGAGCGAGGGTGAGTCGCTAGTAACATATAGGTACATACAATTGTAAGAATGTATGCTCTGTTAGCGACTTATGTAATAAATAAGTAAATAAACTTGAGTAGTTCAGTCTGAGTAAAAAGAAATGATGAATTGAAAATTCAATTTTGTATAGACGTAATATCTGATTTTGAGAGCAAGCAAGCGCTGATAATATTAAATTAAAAGTACTACATCTACGCATGATACGCGTTACCATTTACAGAAATATACTGTATAGTATTTACCTACCTATTTAATTAAGTTTGTTTCGAAAACTTTTAGCCTCTGAATGAGAAGTTTCCAGATGATTTTTTTATGATAGTAGGGGAGCCCAAGAGGGGATTTTCTGTAGTTACTCGAGCGCGGCAGATTAACATAAAAGAGGTTACCTTGCACTCTATTGAGTACTTTCACCACAATATAAGTCTTCTATATAAAGGGGCGCGTCTAGGGAAGCCGATTAAAATATTTAAAAAATGTTTTGATAAGGTAGAAATACTTGAAACCGTCAGATTAAGGTGTGGTAGGCTAGTCACATCCTGAAAAGTGTCCAATTCAATAATCTGCCGATTTGCACAAGCCGAAGAGGCGAAAATCGACTATAAAGTTTATGATGATTTTTCCTCATTCATTCTTTGATAAGTAAATAAATGGTAATAAATAAAAATGGCTGTCGGATTTATATCTTTTAATAAAGATTTTTTATTATTAAATATGTTATCTCTATGTTATCTATTATTATGTTATCTTCCATATATTAAGGGGAAGAGAACTGGTACTTAAAAATACAATAGGATATTACATATAAATAACTAGTGACTCACTCTCGCTTCGTTCGGGTCCGTCCCTGGGTACGTTTTAACGCTTAGTATGAAATACAAGTCTTTGAATTTCTCGGCTTTTATATACTATAATATGCATGTATTATACATACATATAAAGCTTCCTCTTGAATCACTGTCTATTAAAAAAACCGTATCAAAATCCGTTGCGTAGTTTTCTAAGCATACCTACATAGGGACAGACACACAGCGGGAAGCGACTTTGTTTTATAATAAGTAGTGATATTATTCCCAAAAATGGTTAAATAACGATTAATTAATATCTATATAAATTTTCCTTATTCTTTGAAGAATGTAAACGATCTATCATCTATCGATAAACAAAAAATCTCGTTACTATTTTTAACTTTGTCATTTTTTTAGCGAGCTCCGTCTATAATATTTTTTTAGTCTGAGGTATAAATTATAATATTAATTGTTTTAGATACTACTTCCTTTTCAAAACTCGTATGGGTATGCGAATTTACTCAGACTCAGCCATCGATGACTTCTCAATGGCCCCCGAATGTTTCGGTCTAAACATAAACTCCACTGAACTTGGGGATTACAATTACTATGACCCAGTATTTGAGGAGAAGACTACACCTCATGAAGACTTCGTTGAAGAAACTTGTAAGTATAACTTAGTATATTACGTGACCTGTAGTATAACAATTACTTTTATATCACTATTTTATTCCAACAAGACTTGTTTTACGTACATAGAACCTAACAAGTTTACGAAAAACATGCTCAGTCCGCCCGCACTCGGCCAGCGTGGCGGACTATGGCCTGATCCCCCAAGTATTGAAGGGTGGACCGTGCCCAGCAGTGGGTCATTAAAAACGGCTGAATACATTAATCATATAGTACCTAAATACAGTAACGTCGGAATATAATAATTTAGTCATCAAAGCAAAAAAGTGTCTATAATGTCAAAATAACAGCGTTTTACTAAATGCATATGAAACTATATACGGTACTTACTCGTATAAGAAAAACACATTTTTTTTAATTTTTGTCTGTCTGTTTGTTCCGGATAATCTCTGAAACAGCTGGACTGATTTTGACTAAACTTTCACTTGAAGACAGCTGATGTTATAGGGAGTAACATAGGCTACTTTTCTTTTAGAAAAAGAATTAGGGTTCCGCTCAAAAAATTAAAACCTATCTAGAATGACTAGGGACGAACCCGAGCGAAGCGAGGGTGATCAGTCGCTAGTTTGTATATATAATATACATATGTATTTAGTTCTAGCTTAGTAGTAATTCTCTTAGTTAAAATAAATAATGTAATATTTGAAATATATAAAACATTTTTTAAATTTCTTTCCAGTCTTCCGCTTTACAACGTGCGGGTCTGTGGGGCGATTGGGTCCGAACCAGACTATGTGTGACGTAGCGTACAATAACACGCCCGTGTCTGTGACGGTGCTGGAGAAACATCCATACCAGGGGATACAAGTGTGGGAGGTCCCTAGCGAAACCTTGTATACGTAAGTTGTGATGTCTTATATATTATTTATATGCTGTGTTGAGATTGAGTATTTTGGGTCTGGAGTGGGGAACATGAAGGAGAACCGTCTGTGTATGAAAAAATATGCTGTCGAAAAGCGGTAACTTAGGGTTTGTTGGGGTACTGTCGAAATCATGGGTAAATTTTAAAGAAAGCGTTAAACCTTTTAAAATAGGCTAAAGAAGTAAACATGGAAAGAATTATTTTGGACTACGTAAATAAATGAGGTTTTGCATGTTATTACGGTTTAAGTCACTAAAAATATCAAAATGATTTAACTCAGCACATTTTACTCTGTTTACAACTGCTAAATTCATATCACACTCCTTATTTAAGTTAGCGCCATTCTAGTGAGTTTTTGAACTGGTAATTTTAAGGTTTATTTTAAAAATATTTACAACGTGGAATCCATGTTACGGAACTTATTAGGATGCTCATGTATGATGTAAAATTAAAGTAAACAAAGGAAGACCACATAAGTGTCATAGTTTTTATGATATTTGTCTTAAATGCTGTGGCTCTATCTAACCACCAGTACCAGAAAGAAAAATGTGTGAAGGAATGATGAAAACTCTATACTAATATTATAAAGAGGTAAAGTTTGTGAGTTTGTGACGTTGTAGGGGGTAATCTCTGGATCTACTGAAAGATATAGATGAAATTTGGCAAGAAGATAGTTTGAGACCCTGGGAAGGAAATAGGATACTTTTTATCTCGGTAATCATCCCTTCAGGGGTTAAGAAGGGGGTTAAAAGTTTGTATGAGGAAACAAGCTAGGGATGAACCCGAGCGAAGCGAGGGTGAGTCGCTAGTGTTAAATAATTTTGAAATTATTCGTACATATTTCATTTTCCAAGAATGTCTTGGAATACTATAACTGGACTTGACCCGACCCGCGACTCGAACCCAAGCCTTCCGGTCTCCTATAACTCATGCTAGCTACTACCGTCGAGACAGTTATTTTGATCTAATACTACTAACACATACATACAGGATAATAGCAACAGGCGCGTCCGGCGGGCTGGGCTCGATGTGGGCGGGCGTGTCGCACGGCGCGCAGGCGCGGGGGCTCTTCGAGCTGCACAAGGGGGAGAAGCTGTACATGATGATCGGGCAGCAGGGGATGAACGCTTGCAAGAAGGTTTGTTTCTCTATGTGTATCATATGATTGATCCACAGTTTCACCTACCTTTAATTAGATATACATTATACATATAAATACATAAATAATATAACTTCCTTTAAACCCTAAATTATTAAGTAGTGAAGTATTAAGATTCCGAAATTCCTTGGAATTCAACCCATTTTAACGTCCCACTGCTGGGTACGGGCCTTCCTTTAAGGCGAGGATGACCAGGCCGTAGTCCACCACGCTGGGCAAGTGCAGGTTGGCGGACTTCACATGTTTTTCAATTTCCTAGGTTCTCTTAGATTTGCAGATTTGCTCACGATATTTTCGTTTACCGTAGGGCAAGTTGTAATATTAAAAGTTTAACATAAGTTAGTTTTAGGGTTCTGTACATCTGATGTGATAAGAAGTATTCTTAGTCACTTGCTTGTTTTTCTGTCAGTGTCACGACCTATTGCCTAAAAACGTACTGAAACGTCCTTTCCGAAAAATCTATTGTTTATAAATAAGGTTATTTAACATATTTTATTAAAATTAATAATACAATAATTTTGCAGACTCTATCAGCTCAAGAGAGCCAAGAATGTTCTAGACGGGACTCAAATGAGACGATGCAAGTATTTACAAGCAAAACCCATGAAGTGCGAAACACCCATGTGAATGATGGCGGAGGTGGAGGAGGGGGAGCTACTTATGTGTTTTTGGTAAGTTTACCTAACGTAGTATACGTGGTTTCGCGGCACACGCCAGGACAGCTCCCAGTCGGCATGATTTTTTCCGACATCTTCAACAATAATTGTCATAATATGTCAGCCAATTAACAAAAAACTTAATCTCTCTCTACCTCATAAATTACACCTTTCGTAGGTGAAACCGTTTCAAAATCCGTTTTGTAGTTTTTGAGTTTATCGCGTTCAGACAGACAGACATACGCGGTAGGGAGACTATGTTTTATAATATGTAGTTATTTTATTTTTGATGATTTTTTTTATGGTTTCGAAAACTAATTTCCTACCGAGCACGTTGAAGTTACATATAATATGTTCTTCTTGAAATTTTAAAGCGACTCCTTTCAAATATCTCAATTCAAAACAGCTGTCTCTCATTTAGGCCATTTACGTGTTTACCCGATACCATACCTAAGCCAAAATCTGACTGTCTGTTTATCCGCTTATACACGCAAATCTGGACTGATTATAACGTAGGTTTCACGTGAGATATTATTCCAAGTAAACATGTCCAATACTTGTATTCCCTTAGATGGATAAGGAAGGCAACCCAATACCCTTGCTAGTCGGGGGCGGCGGCGGAGGCCTATCTGTGGGGGTCTTCAGAGACGACGGCTCCCAACATGCGCGAGGCAGGACAAACACGACTCCCGAGTCGGGGTATATGTATGGATATCCCGGAAAAACTTCTGGTGAGTACATAATGTATGTACCTACAGATTGAGGTAGAGTGCGTACTAGGAGATTGTAAGATGTGTAGAATGATTTTTATTTAAAAGTAAGACTGAGTTAACATTCACTTTTACAAGTGGATAGAAATTTTAAGTGTATGTACACAACACAGACAACATTTTCTCATTTGAAGTAAGTCAAAAGTTTTTACTAATATTATATTCTATTCGTCTATTTGTTACTTATTCCCGCTTAATGCACAATATATGTAGGTATGTATACCGATTATTGTGTGGTGGACGCAGGCGCTTGTCTAGGATATCTTCATTCTCTGTCTCATTTATCATGCGAGCTAACCCTATCTCGCTTACAATATAAGTGAAACTACGGGCATAAACTAGTATACATATAATATAGTATGCTGAGTTTCTTCTCCCAATTCTTCTTAGGTCTGAGGCTTCTTCTTTCCGAACTGGTAGAAGACTCATGACATTCAGTAAGAAATTGTAATAATTTAATGCCGAATAAAATATTTTGAACTTTGAATGTAACAACGTGCCGTGTGTTGTGGCGCCAGGCGCGGGCGGCGGGTGGGTGTCTCGCGCGGGGCCCATCACGCCGGGCTTCGAGGTAGTGAAGGGGCTGGCGCTGCGCGAGGGCGGCGCCGGCGGCCGCGCCTGCGCCGGCGGCGCGCACGGAGGCTTCGGCGGCGGCGGCGGCGGCTGTCTGCGCGGCGGCGGCGGCGGCGGCTGGCAGGGTCGGTGGCCACTCACATTCAATCATTCACTCTCAATTACTCATTCGCTCATTCATTCTCACTCACTCAAGTTCAACTTAAAATCACCAAAATATCCTATTTTATTATCATAATTCATTAAAAACTATTTGTCAGAGCGTTTACTGAATATGATATTTTGTTGTTTATATATGTATTTATAGCTGTATTTTAAATATAACTATATTTTTCGATATGTTGGATTTTTATTTTGGATTGGAGATTTATTTTGAATTTTAGTTCCCAAAATGTCAAATTCTTTCAATTCAATTTTCTTGTGGCTTCGTATCGTGCCAATTGAGCACAGATTACTTCGCCAATGTCACGGACAATGGAGAAGACACGAAGGGGATTGGTCGGTTCAAATGTTTTACAGCAAACATTTGAGAGGTCGGGAATCAAGTGTCAAAAAAAATCACCGCATTCAGCTAAAAACCGAGTCAGGGAGATGTAAGAAGAGAAATACAACAAATCCAGAATTTTTTCAAAATTTTTGTTTCTCTGTCTGTTTTTGTACGGGCTAATCTACGAAACTGTTGAACCGATTTAAATGAAACTTTGCATGGTGGTACCTTCAACATTTTAGATACTTTTCATTCCAGAAAATTAAAGAGCTCCCGTGGAATAGTTGAAAAACCATAGCAACTTATACAGAATTGAGAGAAGTTCAGTGACATACACACTCACAGAAGAATTATATATATAAAAGATAGTACACAAAAACTACTGATTGGATTTTAATGAAACTTTACAATAATATAGTTCATACATAAGAATAACAAATAGACTACTTTTTATCCCGGAAAAATGTATGATTCCCGTGGGATAGATTTGTTTTTGCTGTGCTAGTGTATAAATAATAAAGTAATTGTATACTATATACATAGGTGGCAACACGAACGAGGGCGAGGGCCAGCACGGCGGCGGCGGCTGGTCGTACGTGGACAGCGCGCGCGGCGTGCGCGAGTACGCCGCCGTCGGCATGGCGCCGCGCACGGGGCCCGGGGAGGTGCTCGTCATACCCGCCGTGCACGTCAGTATATCACTACAAGTATAAAACAAAGTCGCTTCCCGCTCTCTGTCTGTCCCTGTGTATGCTTAGATCTTTAAAACTACGCAACGGATTTTGATGAGGTTTTTTAATAGACAGAGTGATTCAAAAGATTTGATTAAAAATTGTTTTTTTCTTTTGTAAGATTTGATTTTTTTAATATATAGAGTGCTTGGAGATGAAATATATTTATATATACACAAGAATAAAATAAGGATTTATTAATAAAATGATTTCTCTTTTAGAAATGCGGGTGTAATTACCGCTGCGTCGCCATGAATGAGTACCGCAGCGAGGTGAAGTGCTACTGCCCCGCCTCCTGGACCACGGACGCTAACGATCCCACTAAATGTATATGTAAGTAGGAATAAATAACTACTTGTTACTATGATATTGGTTGAAAATAGTATTAAGTATAATTTGTAATAACTATAGTTTATGTTAGGGATTTCTCGTACCAGAAATAATCTTTATTTCATTGATAATAAGTAGCCTAACAAAATGATGATGATTCTAAGTTCTTTGTTTTTCATTTTGTCCAAATATGTAACAATAATTTAAAAATAAACATAGAATTTGCCATTTTACATATAAACTAGGTATGTTATGTAAAACATGCGTTGTTATTTTCCATATTGCATCTTGTAGCATGTACGGCTACGCATCCGGAGGTCCTGGGTTCGAGTCCCGGGTCAGGCCATGTTTAGTAATTGATTCTTTCTGTTAAGAAAGTCCCAGTAACAGCCCGAAGTTGGGAACTTAGTGGTGTTTCGACCCCGTGCCTCGGAAAGCTTGTGTCGCGTCGGTCCTGCACCTGATCTTTTACCGCGAGTGTCGAATTATCGTCCTATCGGAATTTGAGAGTAACAGGAATAGTGAGTGCACACTATGTCTCCGCGAACGACTTTTGCCCTATATCCTGCAGTTAGCTAGTCTCAGTGCGATTGGCCGCCATGGCCGAAATTAGTCGAGATGACACGACCTTATATCCAATCAAATTCAAGATCTGACTCGGACTGTAGTAGATCCCTTATCTAAATGGGACGAAGCTTAGCTAACTACCTATATGTTGGCACAGAACAGCGATAGCAGTAATGCTGTGTCGCTAGTAAAGTACACAGCCGTAAGGCTGTGTCGCTATTTTATAATATAACTAGACCGATCGATTACCCTCGCTTCACTTAAGTGCGTTCCTAGGTGCCTAAACCCAAACAATTAGCTTATTACTCCAGATCAGTCTATCTGTCTATTATATTTCATTCAAATCAGTCCAGCCATTTTAAAATAAAGGAGTAACTAATACATTTATACAATTTAAAATACAAAATACCTAGTGTAAATATACTTATAATAAAAATGTAACTAAGCTGAAGCTGTACATTAAATATTTTTTGGAAAATCTTATTGAAATAGTCATTATTATCGATACAGAGGCCGAATCTATAGTTTTAGAATTTTTGTCTGTCTCTGTCTGCCTGTGACCGCATCACAGAAAAACCACTGTACAGATTTTGATGAAATTTGGTATGATGATAGTTGGTTATCCAGGTCAACATATGGAATAGTTTTTACTGCGGGAAAAATCTCATCTCTGAGAAATCTATACTAAACGTTAAAACGTAACTAGAGACGTGAACCCGAGCGGGGCGAGGTTGAGTCGCTAGTAAAGTTAGGTTAATTATTGAAAAATTTGATTATGTTGTGATATTTATTTATTAAGGAATTAAAGAGGCGTTTTTATTGATATTACTAATGTCATTTATTTCCAGTGGACGAAGGTTGGCCGCAGATGTGGCTCATATCGCTAATAATTCTCTCTTTCATCGTCGTACTCTGCGTCGGTGTCATACTCGTCGTCTCTCTACATGTTTGTAAGTATACTTCTATATTTGGACACTTGTATTCAGCCCTTTTCCCACAGCTGGGCACGGGCCTCCCTTCAATACGAGGGGGATCAGGCCATAGCCCACCACGCTGGCCAAGTGCGGACGGACTGAGCATGTCTTTCGTCAACTTGCTAGATTTTATATATATTTTAAGACAGGTTGCCTCGCGATATTTTCCTTCACTATCAGACTAAGGTTAAGTAATCAAGAAATCATAAAAGAAAATAATCATGTTGGATATGACTCACACATGAAAGTATCAGAGGTGCGAGACCCGGGAGTTGAACTCATTGTTGTACTATTACATTATCAACTTGTTGTACTATTACAAGTTTATCTTATCTTCAGATATCTTGGAAATGTGACAATTTAGAGCACCATAACGTCCATGTTAATGTCACAAATTTAAAAAAAAAGCAGCCATGAGGACTGCTGACATAAGTGAAAACTTAAAACTATAAACAAACAGATGTTATTTTTGGATATTCAAATTAATTGTTTGATCTTAAATTAAAATTTGTAAATTAAAACTGTTTACATTTATCTGGTTTTGACTTTTGATATCTATCGGCACTCTGAGTGTTAGCGTTAACACGTCAAGTGACCGTGTCGATGACGACTTACATGAATTTACTCCCCATCCAAACAAACCTGTCTATACAAGTTGCCAATGCCGTAACGGTCTAACAATAATGAATCAACTATTTAAACTCTATAAATCACGTAAAATAAAACAATCCAATATTCCAGATAACAAATATCAACGTAAAAAAGAAGCGGATGCGATACAAAAACAAATAAGGCAGCAAGAGCTACAACTGCACAGACTGAGGAACGCCCCGGGAGGTGATAACACTCTGAACATGGCCTTCAACCCCCATTACGGGAGTGAGAGCTTCTTACCGCAAGGGGTCGATGTGAGGGGTCTGCCTAAAGTGGCCAGGGAAAGTTTGAAATTGGTCAAGTAAGTAGAAAGATTTGTTGTTTTTTTTTAAGTTAGGTATAGATACTGCTTTTGGCACGTTTAGAAAAAATTATAAGAGTAAAATTTTTACGATGCGCGCACACCGACAGCCGAAAAGCGAATTATGATATATGGGATGAAATGTTTAGCAATTTTTTTCTGTTACGTCAAAGAAGTATAAGTTCTTACGTGCCTACATAAGTACACACACACGTATTTTTCCTTTTTTTTAAATCTATAAAAGTTTTCATTTTCATGTGTTATGATAAAAATGATCATTACATAAGTATGTATAAATACTCATATTCTAATTAGTTTTAGAGCTATTAGGCCTAGAAAAACTAGGTCTTTGGGGCAATAAACTAGAGATTTTAGCATCATAGAACAATGAACTGTGTAGAAATACCACTGACGATAAGAGGCAGAGTTTGTTTGTTTGTTTCTTTGTTTGTTTAAATCTCAGGAACTACACATCTGATTTGAAAAAAATCTTTTAGCATTAGATTGCTCGTTTATTGAGGAAGTCTATAGGCTATATCATCATGCTACTACTCAAGGGAGTGAAGCATCGTCATAAATGTCAACAAATCAGGCAGACTTCCATACAATGTTGTAAAACTGATGTTTAAACTCAAATCAAATAAATTTAACGCAGGGCACAGATAGTAAAAAAATTCATTGGCAATGAAGACCTTTCAAGAGCATTCCAAAACATCTTTGTTTGAGAATATATTATTTTATTTATTTAGGTATAGAAACAGAAAAAAGATTAAAGAAAATTACAAATAATTATATCTGTACACAACATGCGTTTAAAGTTACATAAAAATATTAAAAAACAAAAAGAAAATAATGTGTATATATATATATATATATATATATATATATATATATATATATATATATGCACACACAATAATATATATATATATTTCATGTAAAAAAGACAAAGAAAAAAAGAGAAAGGAGAAGAAACAGAGAGAAAGCATATCCTTATTGTCGAAAATGAAAAAAATAAAATAGGAAGTATATGACGTCAGGCAGGCGGCCGGTCATAAAACTTTTGCCAAATCCTATCAGCAGTACAGAAGATGTACTGCGCCGACCACAAGTGATTGGGAAATGGGCAGGGAGGAGAAGAAGAAGAATTTATTTAATTTTTTCTTGTTTTTTCTTGAATAATAAAAAAAATACTATTATTAAACATGTCGTATTGTACGTATTGTATGTTTTACACATTAATGTTTAAATATTTGTAGGGCACTAGGGCAAGGGGCATTCGGGGAGGTGTACCAGGGGCTGTACCGGCACCGCGCCGGGGACAGCGTGGAGATGCCGGTGGCGGTGAAGACGCTGCCGGAGCTCAGCACGGGGCAGGCCGAGTCCGACTTCCTCATGGAGGCCGCCATCATGGCCAAGTTCAATCATCCGAATATTGTACATCTCATCGGTGTCTGCTTTGATAGACATCCGAGGTGAGTTGATTGTTGGTTTATAGTTTAAAAATCTACTTTAGTTCTTAAATCTCTTATTATATTAAGCATGGGACTAATGCATAATTTAACGCCTCCAAGTAAATTTCTAAAAAATAATTAAATTTCTGAGAAATCTATTGTTAACTGATACGTTGGCGTGTCCGCTGTTGTGGAGGGAATATTGTATTTATTATTTAGTTTATTCTGACATGTACAAAATTAATTGTAAGTTATATACATTGATAAGTAATCGTCCTGATTCTACATTAATAAATGATTTTTTTATTTTTACTTATTAATTTATTTATTTATAAATTATAACCAAATATCTTACTTAGTCTTAAATATGTTAAAGAATTTTTAAATTGTACTGATACATGTTGAGACATATTACTACTGATATTAATGTGGAGATTTACAGATTTTGAAATTGACGTGAAATGAAAAAAACATGCATATTGGATTTATCTTTTGTTGAAGTTCAACAACATATACTCAACATCTCAAATATATACAAATAACCGCAGTAGGTTTTTAAGTATATAACAATAATTAAATTAATTATTGATTTATATATTTTTTACCTTTTCTTTAAGTTTAAAATTCTAAGTATAATATCATACATAATAAAAAAACAGCGTTGTATATAGGTCTAGTTCTGATTCTAATGTAACGTATTTATTTGCTTATTTGTTTTTAATCGACTTCAAAAAAGAAAGTTTAAACCAATATTTTTGTCGATGTCATGTGAATTATCATCATATTTTTTTTGTCTTATATATCGACTAGCATTACCCGCGGCTCCGCCCGCGTTCAGATGACCAAAAACCAAATTATTAGGTTTTACATATTAGTATACTATTACATTGCAGTTTTATTATTTTTTCTCTGAAATGAGACATTTTCCCGCGGTAAAAAGTATCCTATATGTTGACCCGGATACCCAGCTATCACCATACCAAATTCCATCAAAATCCCTACAGTGGTTTTTCTGTAATGCGGTAACAGACAGACAAAAATCCTAAAAACTATAGATTCAGCCTCTATATCGATAATAGCGTTTTTTTCAATAAGGTTTTCCAAAAAATAATTAATATTCGGCTTACTTACAATTTTATTATAATATGTATAGATGAACGCCGGCTGCATGCACGAAAAAGTGTCACGTTCGGCCCGAAAGAGCGTGCGCGCGAGAGCGCCTATTGCACATTGTTACTTATAATTCATTAACCTGTATAATTTAACAAAAAAATATTTGAATTAACGATTGCAAATAAATGTTAATTTATCGAAAAAATGTAATTTTCAATTAACTCCTTTGTATTTTACAAAATAATGACAATTCAGTGATAATATAATTCAATTTATACAAATTTTCATCAACGTTTTCTTGTGATATTACGTTATCACGTAAAATTTTAATTTTTTTTATAATAACATTTTAAACTGCGTTTGAAGCCAGTGCACCTTCCCCAGGTTCATAGTGCTGGAGCTGCTGGCGGGCGGCGACCTGAAGAACTTCCTGCGCGAGAGCCGCCCGCGGCCGGAGCGCGCCAGCGCGCTCACCATGAAGGACCTGCTGCTCTGCGCACTCGACATCTGCAAGGGCTGCAAGTATTTGGAGGCTAAGCGATTTGTTCATAGGTGAGTTTGGGGATAATCTACACTCTATCTATACAGATAAATAAAATTGAAATGTCTGTTTGTAATGTCAAAATAACAGCTTTTTACTAAATTCATATGAAATTTATACGGTATTTATAAGAAAAACACATTTTTATAATGTTTGTCAGTCTGTCTGTCTGTTTATTCCGGCTAAACTCCGAAACGGCTGGGCTAATGTTGACGGGACTTTCACTGGCAAGTAATTGATGTCATAAGGAGTAGCTTAGGCTACTTTTAGTAAAAGAATTAGGGTTTCGTTCAAAAAAAAAAAAATTACCTAGGGACGAACCCGAGTGAAGCGTGGGTGAGTCGCTCGTATTAAGATAAAGTTCGTAAGTTTCTATGTAGGGGGTAAGCTCTGAAACTACTGAACCGATTCTAAGAATTCTTCCACTAAGAAAGCTATATTACCGTCGAGCCGAGTGATGTAGACATTTTTTATTATGTTAAAAATGTATTTAATAATATATAAACTCTGAACGAAATGGTTTTTGAGTACTTTATAAGCTCAGTCAGATTACGCGTATTTACAAATTTTTAAGCTGATACGATAAATATTAGAAGTAAGTTATAATTAGAGACTAATATTGCGAGTCAAAATTTGATCACAAATAAGTTTTTATATTGCCAAGTTTTTATTAAATTAATATAAATATATTAAAAGTTTTTATTATTGAAAAATTTACAATAGGTACGCGCGATAGAATAGATAAAAATTAAATAAAATTGTAAAACTATAATATTTTGGTCGTCCATTAAAAAAAAAATCTTTCCTTAAGTTCCATTTTATCCAGTTTCGCGTGTGTTGTATAGGGATATAGCAGCTAGAAACTGCCTGCTGACGTCGCGCGGTCCCGGCCGCGTCGTGAAGATTGCCGACTTCGGCATGGCGAGGGACATCTATAGGTCCGATTACTACAAAAAGGGGGGTAAAGCAATGTTGCCCATTAAATGGATGCCTCCCGAAGCTTACATCGATGGAATATTCACCGTTAAAACGGATGTTTGGTAAGTTTTGGATGTTTCAGGTTAAATACTTTTTGCATTTACCTTTGGGAAAGTTACCTGATGTTTATAATAAAATTATCTATAAAATAAAGATGAAATACTATTTGTTGGTAACTTGACTAAGGATGGTCCAATTTGACATTTTTACAAGTGTTTGTAATCAAATATTTCCTGTAAAATTGCAAGTGTCCTTTTCTATACAATTTTATGTGACATTAAAAATCATAAATATATTTATTCAAATTAAAACAGGACGTTCGTCCGATCAGCTAAAATAATATAGTGATATTTTAAAACAATTTATAATTATATACCTAATTAAAAGTTAGATATGATTTCTCAATGATTTTTATAAGCGATAAATATCGTGTACCAAATGGTACCGCGCGTTACCGTACGGTACGGTAACGCGCGGTAACGCTCGGTAAACGTGACGGCAGGTCGTACGGCGTGCTGCTGTGGGAGGTGTTCTCGCTGGGCATCATGCCGTACACGGGCTGCGCCAACCGCGAGGTCATGGAGATGGTGTCGGGCGGCGGCCGGCTGGAGCGCCCGCCCGGTGAGTTCGATCAATTTTAAAATCAACCTTATTATAGAAAGAATGTCGTTATGATATTAGTTATTTAATTTTTGACTGTTTTTTTTATGTGCGTAATTCGTAGGCCTAGGGACTAGTATAGCAGTCCAGGAGGTTCTGAAGGCAGCTCAAAATTAGAAAGTTTTAGTTGAAATTTAAACATGAGTAGTGTGTATTGTTATACAGTCATTATTACATTTTTACTAGCATTTCCCGCGGCTCCGACCGCATTCAGATAACCAAGAACCAAATTCTTAGGTTTTACATATTAGTATACTCTTACATTCCTCGTCTTGCACTTCTCAGAAATGAGATATTTTCCCGCGGTAAAAAGTATCCTATATGTTGACCCGGATAACCAGCTATCACCATACCAAATTTCATGAAAATCACTCCAGTGGTTTTTCTGTGATGTTATAACAGACAGACAGACATAAATTTTAAAAACGATAGATTCGGCCTCTGCATCGATAATAATGTTTATTTCAATAAGATTTTCCAAAAAATACTTAATGTACAGATTCAGCTTAGTTACAATTTATTATATGTATAGGTTATTTATACAAGTTCGCGATAAATATAAGAAAGATTTGGATATCTTCTCAAAGATTTATATTTGGTCAGTCTTAACAGAATTACAATGGTTTATTCTTTGTGCAGTGCCAGTGTCGTGTGCAAGACGTAGAATTAGAATGAGGGTGGTGTTAGACTCTTAGATGATGTATGATTGACGTAGTGCGTGACGAAGTTGTATTTGAGTAAGTTAATTGGTTGAGTGTATGGCTCGACATAATAAATATAATAAAGCGCCTTATGCTAAAAGGCAATAGGGTCGACGATAGGAAATCTGGCGTCGACAATACATACAAAGGAATATAATATAAAATTATTATATACAAAATTTTATGAAAAAAGAAAATGAAAATATATTTTAAATATATGTATATTTTAATAAATATGTAAGTATCCTTTAAGATAATTTCTACATACAGGATGCCCGCCGGACGTGTACCGGCTCATGTGCGAGTGCTGGAACCCGGCGCCGTCGGAGCGCCCCGCCTTCGCGCAGATGTTCGACCGACTGCAGAGACTCGTACAGGTACACTTTACCTATATGATTTTACATGTTTTTATATATTGGTCCTTTTTAGTAAAAGTTAAGGCAGTTGTAGCCCAGTGGTAACGCGCTCGCTTGGAAAACTGAGTGAAGCGAGTTCAAATCCCGGGTCTCCTACCTCTGATATAAATATTTTCTTGTGCGAATCAATTCTAACATGATTACCACTTGCCTTACGGTGAACGAAAACATCCTGAAGAAACCTGCATGTCTGAAATAATCTAACAAATTTTCGAAAGACATATTCAGTCCGCCCGCACTTGTCCAGCGAGGTGGACTATATCCTGATCCCCCTCGTATTGAAGGGAGGCCCACCCCCAGCTGTGGGACGTTAAATAGGGCTGCCGGCTGAATAGATAGATAGAATAGATAGATTAAAAGGGGAATCCCATTTGAAGAACCAATTTTATTTTAAGTTTTTCATCTACACTAATATCATAAAGAGGTAAAGTTTGTGAGTTTGTGAGGCTAATCTCTGGATCTAATGAACCGATTTAGATGAAATTTGGTTAGAAGATAGTTTGGGACCTTGGATAGGACAAAGGTTACTTTTTATCCCAGAAATCATCCCTTAAGGGGGTGAAAATTTAGATGAATGTTTGTATGGGGAATCAACCTAGGGACGAACCCGAGCGAAGCGATGGTGAGTCGCTAGTATAGGTATATAAATGTTTCATTTTGTGTATTTAAGCGTGTTGTCTTATTATTTTTGAGATATTTAACATATTAAAATTTGATGAATTATTTTAAAAGAACATTTTTTGAGTTTCCCGGTTTTTCTCAGCAGAACTTCCTTCCAAGCTGGCAACTTCCTTACGAACTTACATACTCACATTGATTGTATATGTGTACATATTAAATGATAAATATAAAAAATACCGTTTAAAAGTGCGTATATTTTATTTACCCGTACCAAATATATAAATAAATTATATTATTTTACTAAAATACCGTACCGTAACTCATATTATATTAAAAATTTCAAAAAAATATTTTTTTGTTAAATATATACATTAAATACAGGATCCAGAAATAACAAACGCACCACTCCCACTTCTGTGCTCGTACCTCGCGCCCGCCGACGTCATAGAGCCTAACGGACCACAGGTATGTGCAAACAGCAAAAAGTATTATTATATACATACATACTACGTATGTACGGACCGTCTGTCCATTGGTTTCGTATAGAAGGCGTCGGGCGTTTTTGTGAGAAGATATTTAATTTAATTAAATTGTTTAAAAATTGTTTTCAATGATTTCATTCGTTTTTTTTTTATTGTATGTTGCGTATTTAAATTTAATCTCAATTATTTAATTAAATGTACATTATTAATAATATTACTAAACGTCCTTCATCTTCTTATATTTTATCTGTGCTGTTGTTCAATAAAAATAATAAACGTATCATAATTTAAAATATATTAAAAAAATATCTACAAAATTTTACTAGTGTTTCATACTTTGCAATACTATTTTTCTTTAAATTTCTTACTTCTCTATTGTAAGGTTTATATTTTATTAATAATTTACTATTATACAAGATTATTCATGGTCATTAAACTAATTTCATCATTCATATTGTTGTGAAATTTAATTGTTTTTTTTTTATAAATATTCATAAATTTAAATAAAAACATTCATTTCATAATCTCCCATATGAAAAAAAACTTTATAACACAGATTATATTGTAAATGAAATTGTAAATGTACTAATTTTGTAATTGATTTTTTTTTCTTTTTTCCAAATGTTTTCGCTCTGGCTACTAGAAGCAAGTAATTGGATTTTTTAATATACATAATTAAAAAAACATTTTTTTTTCTTAAAAAAATCGGTGTTAGTTCCGTGAAAAAAGACCGCGATTGCTTGCGAGTGCCGCATGAACATACCATTTTTATATATATTTTTTTAAATATTTTTTCTAACTACCCCCTTTCCTTGTATGAAAATCGCATAGACAATTAGAGAACCCCGTAGCTAGTGAGAGATTCATTGGAATGTTACATTTTCACTATATAATTAAAACTATTTAAAATTGCATGCATTTAATTTCATTTTTTAATTAATTTCTCATAAATCATCAATATAAAAATGATCATTTCAAAGAATCTCTTTTTCCGAATAATTTCCAAAATTTAAGTGTACTTGCCTAGTAGCTATAGCGGGAATCATACCTGTATTTTCTTATTATACCTCTGTCCTTTACTGGGTTTTATAAAATAACATTATTCACAAAATAGCTTATTAAAAAAACATCAGAAAATAAGGCAATGGAAAATATACTTTAAAATATTTTAAAAAACCCAGCCCTTTCTAATGCACGCTTAGACCTGAAGTCGAGACTCAGGGAGATTTGAACATAGGCAAAAACACATCCACGATGAAAATATTCAGTGCAATAATTGCCAAAAACTCTATATTGTTATATGTTTTTTCAATGAAAAAGTTATATTTATTAAAACATTATATTACTTTAACGACAGGTTGAATTTAAGTTTAACTATCTTAAAATTTTCTTTGTATGCTATATACAGGCAAAAGTATAATTTGTTGAAAAAATGTATCCAAAAAAAATCATGATATTATAAACGTACATAAATATCAAATCATTTTCTACCACAAATTAATATATATTTAAAAAAATACATATAACGTGGTGTGTAACTGTAATGTTGGTCTCCCTGTGCGCTTACCTCGCTGTGTTGGCAGCGCTCCGCGGGCGACTACCTCGTGCCGCTCTCGCCTAAGGACCAGATGGAAGCTAGGTAATAACTTGGGAGATTGGCAGAGTTCTTTTTTAAATAAATTAATTAAAATATAAATAGGTTGGGTAACTTTGAATAGAATATATAAAATATGACTGTCGTGCCTTTTTTGGTATCTGCGTTCAAATGTACTGAAAAATTCGTTTTACTAACAGCCGAACTATTTGCCGAATATTCAAACTTAGTCATTTATTTCTGATATGTGAATTGCACAATTGGTTTTTTTTTATTAAAAACCACAGCATTTGCAAAACTAAGTGACCTGTTGTTTCTGTAAGTTTATAGGTATTAAAAGAACAGAAGGTTACAAAGTCCGTTGTTGTAAATACAGTGCAGTTTTTTATAATCGATTGTATATTTCACGCAAAATTTATCCATTAAAACGTTTATATTTGATAATATCAAAAAAAAACTTAAAAAGTTTAGTTTTGTGTTCAAAATTACCCAAACGTCCTTATAAAATGATACAGAAAAAAACTTTTTTATATTTTAAACGCAGCTATTAAACCACTTTTATTTTAAATAAATCTTTTTCAACAACTCTAGCATAGGTATATTCTAACTAATCACATAAAAATATTGTTTTTTTTTATATAAAAAAAAAAACATTTTTCGACTGCCAGTCTCCTTTTCTATTTAACATTCATTTATTTCTCCAAATTTTAAATCGAAGTAAATGTGACCCCCTTACACGATAATAATTCGATGTTGTTAACTGAAGAACTACCCATGAAGTTTACTTTCAAAAACTATTTGCATAGTTTTTAAATAATTATCTTTAATATTTTAAAGCAAATAGAGATTATTGCAAATTTTTGAAGGTAATCTTAAGAATCTGGTACTAAATTTTCCCAATTTAAAAAGTAATAGAAAACAAAGTAAATACTAAATATAAAAAACTTTTATTAGATTTATTGGTATTCGGGAAAATTTTGTAAGTCGTAAACCCAAAAAATAACAAGTCCCGTAACTGCTCTACAGACGAGCTTAGGCATGCTTAGTGCGGCAACCCTTCTAAATAACAATCGGCTAATTATTACTTATAAAAAACCAAATTTACAAACTTCCACATCGGTTTAATGTATGAGAAAGACACTTCCCTAATGGATTGCTCAAGAATGCTTCCGTTATCAAAGATATTACGAAAAATACCTACTTACTTTAACAGAAAGTTACATGTACTCTTCTATTACTCGACCATTTCTTAAGATTTATTTGATATTTTGATATTATAGTCACATATACAGTTAAAATCAATATTGACAATAACTGTACTTTCCCCATATCTTACCATAATTCAAAAAAAAAAGGTTTTAACCAAAACGTTATCGAAAAAATTCTACTTTCCAAGATTATATTCTTACGCATTTTTGAGAGATCTACTAAATTAGTTAGGTAGTGCTTAGAGCGAAGCTGATGAGTGTTTGTTGTAGCTCAACGGATCAGTCGGCACCTCATAGCAAATCGCTAACGGCGGCGCAGGAGAAGGCAGAAATGGAGGATTCACAATATCAACCTCTTCTGAAAGGTAAAATAAAAAACATGTTGTTATAATAAATATGTTGGGACATAACACAGCACCATCTAGATCCATGGTAAGCTATGAGGTTTGTGTTATGGATAGACGATAGTTGATACAATACACATATATACTTAACTTTAAATACATACATAATACAAATATAAACACTCATGACTGGAGTACAAATATTCGAACTCAACATACAAATAAATGATCCCAGCGGGACTCGAACCCGCGACCTCTGGCACAGCAAGTGAGCTAAACATGTCGTCAGTAAATTTTCTATTGAAAACTATTGGCTTACCCTCGCTCTAGCGGGTGCGCCCTTAGAATATACGGTTTATTCCGAATTAATTCTCAAATGTCATCTTACCGGTAGCTTATTTTTTGCAAAATATTTACAAATTATAGGCTATACCTAGTACCTAGAATCTAGATGATCTGGGCGAGGTCGTCTCTCTATTGGTGAAAACAGAATGCAAATCCAATTTGCCGGAACAAACATTCTGTGCAATGGGAGGCTTTCATTTATAATATTTAGTAGGATAATATGACGATTGAAAGATGACGATGAAGAGAAAAAAAAACATGAAGAATATTTGTGATTATAACGCTTATAAGTTTTATTTTTCATGGTTTTTGTATATTAATCAACCAAGAGCATGGTGAAGATGTGATTAATTTGGAAAATTAATCATATCTTCTCCATACTCTACATTCGCTAAAATATTTATCTCTACTTTATACAGTACTTTGTATAAAGTACAGATAATTATTTTAGTGGATGTAGAGTGTACTCTACTGAGTACATTTAAATGAAATTTAGTACACTGATAGGCTAGTACCACAATGGCTTCTGTTAGGGATGCACATGAACGAAGTCAGGATAAGTCTCTAGCAATCATTTAAGATAAAAATCATTTGTTGATTACCAAATTAAATTTACATAATTAATAATATTACCCACTTTTACCTAACTTTTAGATATATTTATAAAACAATGTTAATATAATAAAAAAACACGAATAATTTTGTTCAGCATCACAAGAATATGGCAACATTCCAATGGCGTCCGCCGCCAGCGCAAAGCGAGACTCCTTCCCTGCTGCCGCCGAGACGAGGAACAACACAAAGTTTCTGCAGTCTAACTCTACTGATAGGTGAGTTACATCATTTCTAAATCAAATTTACAGTGCGGAGCTAGCTTTATGTTTTTTAGTTATAACTGCCTTGGTGGCTTAGTGATTGGAGGTATGGCAGCAATTGCGGATGTGTTGGGTTCGAGTCAGGGGATCAGGCCAATTGTTGTGTTGTTATTGTGTTTTTCTATCACTAAGCCGTCAGTAAGTATTAGGAAGTTTCTCTGCACTTCTCCTAATGCAACGGCCAACGACTATGTCTAAGAAGTCAACAAACGTGCTCTCCCATTTATTTAATCTATACTGAATATTATAAATGTGAAAGTTTGTGTGTATGGATGGATGGATGTTTGTTACTCTTTCACGCCAGAACGGCTGAACGGATCTGGATGAAATTTTGGCACAGAGATAGATTATAGTCTGGAAAAACACATAGGCTACTTTTTATCGCGGAAAAATGTACGGTTCCCGAGGGATAATTTTTTTATTTTCCTAGAGTTACTACTATAACTGCGAAAATTTGTATATGTGTATTTTTATCACTCTTTCACGTGAAAACGGCTATATGGATTTGGATGAAATTTAGTACATAGATATAGACTATGATTTGAGGTAACACTTAGTCTACTTTAAGACGCTAGTTATCATTAATAATATTCTCAAGGAGGGTTGATATCAGAAAGGCGACCGCTCGTAAAACTTTTGCCAAAACCTATCAGTAGTACGGAAGATGTACTGCGCCGACCCCAAGTTTTTGGGAAAGGGGCAGGGAGATGATGAAGATTTTCAATTACAGGTTACTTAGCTCAGTCGAAGGAGCATCGATAGACGACGACACGGCGTCCGAGCCGGACGACAAAACGGTCATCTGGGAGACTTCCTTTACGGAAACCAAGCCGAGCTCCACTGAACCCAAACCGAACATCGAACCCGGACCTACGGTAAGCTAATCGATATATGTGTAGATACGTAAGCTCAGAGAAGATAGTTTATTCGTACAATAAGATTAGCGTACATTTTACATGCGCGAATGTTTTCTGGGATTGTGTACTACAGAATTTGGTATAGAGGGAAGCCTAAATAGTTTTTGGTTTTTTAATCATGCTTTAAAGGAAAGGTTGGATCAATTTTGCTTAGGACATTAAACTGTAAAATTCCTTTCTGTGTGTGTAAAATGAATTCAAAGTGACAGCCTGGTGTCTAAAAATTGATGAGAAAGATCATTTTTGCTTTTTTTACTCATCTTATAGATTCATCTATAAAAAAATTATTGTTTAAAAACTAATTTACATGTTCATCAACAGGTCGAAAAATTAATAAGTATAACACCGACATCACCCAAGCCACCAGACAACGTTCTCTCACAAGCGATAGAGTCTACTGTAATAGATAAAACGAACACTAAAAATACACTGACTGTTGACAAAAAAACCGCACCTATCGCATCCCCCGACCCGCCGCGAGTAAACGCTTGGCAAAAAGACCCACCAAAACTTCTCCCAAAATCTAAGCCATTCTGCCTAGACGCGGCCCAGTTAGAACAAAATCTAAACGCTCTAAAGAAAAACAGTGGATCAGTTAACCTGACAACAATGAACACTATGAAAGTCCTCCCGCCATACATAAACGTGGTAACCCCGAATAAGTTATCCGAATCCAAGACCATACAAATCGATCCCAAAAAAGCAGTTATACACGATTTGCAATCTCCTCAAGAGCCTGATGTTACGATAAAAGATGAGAAAAATAAATTAAAACAGTCTAATTCAGCTGCCAGTTTACTAAACGGGCCGATGACGGACGTTCCTTACGCGGATAGCGATAATACATCCTCAAGTTCGGGGAGTAACGCGCAAAATCTGATAAATAATAAAAAAAATAAAAATTACTCGGAAATTATTGTTGGCAACGGGAAAAAAATTATAAAACAGGGTAGCAATGGAGAGTTCGGCGAATCGGAGATTAGTTGTTAAGATGGTACGACTAAACAAGATGGTCGACTAAATCAAGATGGCCGACTTTGTGGTACAGTGAAGTGCAGTGGACGTTTTAAAATATATTGTAAATAATTTTAATGAACATTCGATGTGAAATTTATCTGTCGTTGTTTTGATCTATAAATTATTATTTGGAAGCTTCTATCGCTTTATATTATACATAATTTTTTATAATTGCTCAATTTGCTCAATGGTTTGCTATATTAGAACAATAAAAATTAGATTTTTCTACGTGCCCTCAAAAATTAGTTTTCATATGTATATTTTGAAAGCTTTTGTAACAATTCAAACTTTAAACCTTATAGTATGTAACACGGTCGGAAATGCGCACATAGCGGTTTATGTAAGAATAGTTCGACTTGTATACATACATGTATGTATCATATATCAAATCAAATTATTTAATTATATACAAAATTAATTTATTTGCGTATGCTTATTTCATTTTGATATTCGGTAAAAAAATAAGTAAGAGTAGAATGCTTATTTGTAAATAATATATTAGTAGTGGTTTGTGTAAATCCGCCCCGGCATAGACATAAATATTACGTTAAATATAGACGTAGAGTTTAAATTTCAACTGATGGGAAAATGTATTTGTGGTGTCTAAATTTGTTTTTTTTTTTTATTTCTTTTTAAGTGTTGCCAGCACAAGAATTTTCTACTATATAGGAATATTTCAAAAAATCTAATCAATATATGATATATTTTATTTTTATTTTATAAGGAAATTTTTCTGACTGGCAACACGGATTATAATGGAATTTATTGACACACTTAAAAATATAATAATGAACTAAACAAAATAATTCTATACATAATATATTATATATATGTTATATGAAATGTGTGTAAAAACACAAATGTGGATGCTTTAATTAAATTTTAAGATAGATTAAGACAAACGCATACATTATTTAGATTTGTTTCAACAGAGTAGTGCCAAAGTATAGCCTCTGGAACGCATTTATTTTTTGTTGAGGCATGAAAAGCAGGGTATTGATTTTTTTTAAATTTGAAAATGAAAATCTATTACGTTAAGTGTTTGAAGCTTTTAAACCTATGGATTATAAGTATTTTTATAATGGGGGTACATGGCTATATGTGACATGGCCATACTGTCATTCTACAACTTTCTGACGCAGTGGTAACATGTCCGTGTACTAGAAGTTCGTAGATTCTATTCTTATTTAGGCAAATATTTCAAACAATCAATATCAGTATTTTCAATGTTAAAAAACTAATAATAATTGCGGTTCAACTGATTCTTTACTGATATCTAATACAGATAATGAAGCCATCATGTTATATACAGTAGGTATAATGCTTTTCATTTTGCCTATACTTATTGTTTTTTTATTATTATTTATCTGTTATTATAATACATAGGTGTCCTATGAATTATCTTATTGTATTAAAAATATATAGAAAGCTTTTTAAAGGATATAAAAACGATGAAACTTTTTATATTTACCAATATAATTATATAATAAAATTTTATATCCAAATAAATAATAATTATAATATAATAATTATATGTATACTTTTTTTAGTTAAATTCTTTAATTCTTTGTAAAAAGTAGTTTATATAGTCATGTACCCGACAGTTAGTATATGTATATTTTTGCTGTACAGATCGGATATTTTTCCTCTAACCATTATAGTTTTGTTATACAAAACAAATTATTATTATATGTTAGATAATATTACTAAGTACACACTTTGATTGTTGATTGTCATATATTTATTGTATTTAGGTATTAATTTGATATTTGGAAGTTGGTAATATTTCTTTTTTTTTTAATTTTCAATATCACATAGGTTCTTGGTTTCACGTTTTGTTAACCGTTCGAAACTTTTTTATAAGGAACTAGATACAACATCAGCGATAAAAGATAGCATCACCGAATGAGCGCTCATTTGAACCTTTCAGCGCGCTTTTATTTTATTTTTTTGTGAAAACAACTTTAAGCACTGCATTTTAGGTTCATTTACGTTTTTGTACATCTATTTAAACTAAAATAATTACCTAAACACAATTGGAGACAGTTTTAAGAGAACTTCTGCACGGGATTGTGTATCTAGTACTTTTTTGTATGATGGAATAGACTAAATATATGCATTATTATTATCATAAAATATAAAGGGGTTCATCATCTCCCTGCCCATTTCCCAAATAACTTGGAGTCGGTGAAGTACGTCCATACCGCTTATTAGTTTTGGCAAACGTTTTCCAACCGGTCGCCTGCCTGATGTCAACCCTCTTTCGGAATGCTGTTATTCGACCGCCACCGAGCAAGGGACTCAATTCTAACTGAAAAATATTCAAATAATTAGATGTACAAATATCAGGGCTATTATTGCTTTAATTTCCTATAATATTAACCTAACCCCTAAAAAAGTCTAAGTAAAATTAGTTCATTTGTTACGCATTTAGTGAGTACATATAGTGTTTTAATAAACTTTTTTTTGCCAGTAAATTTTGAATTACTTATTTAAATCGAACAGAGATTGCATGAACACATATATTTTATTATTATTTTATTTTTAGGTATATTTGCGATATGACTCTGAGATTAATATGAATTAATTTAAATACTTTAGTTAAGTAAAAGTTTTAATGCGCACAAAGAAAGCAATGCTTCTTTAACGTTTAGTTAATGAAATATTATCAACTTTTGATAAAGAGATCGTATACATAAATTTTTGATGTTACAGTGGTTAGTCCTGTATTATGTTGGGTATTCAAATAAGGCTCGATACACACGAGACGTATCGATATCTCTGTTCGCTCGATTAATTGTAAGTGTACGTTAGTTTACGATTGTCGTTAACGTTAATAGTATACTGCAGTTTGTTTAGTCTTTTATAAAGATGATGATATTTATTGAATATATTGATATTGTTTTGATTAAATAGATTATATATTTAATTGTTGTAGGCATTTTACATACTATTCAATGGAGATACGATAATGACACGGAAACGTGAATCGAGCCTTAAATCTATTTATTTCTTATTATTAAATGAATCTGCCAATATTACAATGAATGAAATATTTTATTTATAAATGCAAAGGATGTTTGAAAGGAAGCGAGATGGAAATTTAAGCGCTGTTCTTAACTAATTGTACTACGAATTTTTTTAAACGTTGCATATTGTTTGCTATATTTAAGCAAAAATGCAAAAAAATTGTGCCAACATTGTTATTTTAATTTACTCAACTATCATATATTGCTAAATATAATTTCGTATATCTAATTATTTAATTTTCTTTTTAAATATCCTAAATGTTTATGATTATAAAGGTTGCTACACACGACTGAAAATTTTATATGTTGGGCAAACCAGGAAAATGACATGAAACTCAAAGAGTTTTATTAGGAAATACTTATATACATTTATGAACTATTTTTAATAGTTATAAAATTGTAATTTTATTTTAATCTTAACATTTGATTTTTGATATATTAATTACGTTAATATTTCTCTGATTCTAACAAAAAAAGAATATATTTACAGCCGCACAAATGAAAAATAAAGTAATTGCCCAACATACAAGAAAATTACAACTATATTATTTTTATAAAACCAATCGTGTGAAGTAACCTTTATCATAACAGACGAATAACGTTTTATTGTCACTTCCTGTTGCTCAAGTTAGAATAAATTTGTTTTGTTATATTTTATTTTAAATAGAATCGTGGTTGTGACTTGATATATTACCGCTGGAAATCGAAGTTCCTTTATTTAATAAGTGACTTTAAAATGTTATTCGATCACCGGGTGTTGTAGATTGAATGCAGTCTCTATGGAAACTGCCGATGGGGACTAAAATTTCTATACGTGGCCAAAATAACTTTTAGATTCCATTTTCTGTTAAACAATATGTATTATAGCTAAGCTATGTAAATTGTACAAAGGAAGTTGACATATAACAATTTTGTTAGATGTGCTGATTTTAAATTTTTTTTCGAGAGTTATATAAATATATACATAAATGATTCTTAACAGTGATCGAATCAAGTCAAGCGATTGATTGATTGATTGGTGTTTATTATTGATTGATATTTTTTATACCTGTCGACTATTTAAATAATTTTTATTTTTATATAACTTATCTATTTTTTTGGTAATACACACTATTTTTAGACCTCATTGGTTTGGGATTTTAAATCTTAAATTATATATTTTAAATTATTTTAAGTAGCTTGCAATTTGGTTTTCAATCTATAACGTGCGATGACTATTGAAAGTTTTGAACAACGAAATTTCACATTATTTTAATTTCCATTAAAACCCCTTTTGTATTATATTAGATCTAAATTTTAAATTCAACATTTACACAGCAGATAGTTATAGAAATGTCATGTAAAGTAAATAAAATAACTATGAACCATGTATGGCTAATTTAAAATAAAATCTTAATAATAAATGTATTTATTATGTCGTTTTATTTCTTACTAGCGACTTACCATAGCTTCGGTTGCGTCCCAAAATGCTTTAAAAATAGATAAAAATTGTTACTGTGAGCGTACCTTAGAAGATACGCTCATGCTATCCTAGACTCTCCTGTGGGCCTTTTTAAAACCTACAATTTTCTAGTACATTGTTTTGATGTATCTCTTATTTTGATTACAAACAATATGTTATGAACATCATTTTTTGTTTAAGGGTTTTTAATTTCAATTTTTTATTTCGTTTGATGTATTTAGTCTACTGTTACACTGTCTGTACCCAATCCCTGGGGTACCGTGTAACAATTTTAATCTCAGAAAACTAAAAAAATAAGTAGTTTCTAAGTATATTATTAATTCAAGCTTAATAGGAAGATTAAAATGTTTATTTTATGGTAAATAAAATATTTGGAGGATTTAATAAACGGTTATTTTTCTAAAAATAAAAATGACTTATTACACTGTCCCTCCACTTAATTATCACGTGTCAACACAAATCCGGCTCTGTGTAAAGAAATGAAAATTCATTTGGTTTATACTTCGTTTTATTTTCCTGATAAAACAATACTTTTATGAAATGCTAACATCAACTATGATATAAACTCTAATGAAATCGGCTCGAGCTATATTATACATTAACACCAAAACTTTCAAGCCAGGCTTACACTACATAGCTCGATCAAGTCTTTACAAGATATGAAACGTTCTAAATAGAGAGTAGGGTGAAGCGGATACGTATTTGTACACAGACATACAAATTGATTATATTGAGCATAGATAAAGCAAAATATAAAATACACAGATAATGTAGAAATACATTAAAACTGAGATCATTTTGGGACGAATTTCAAGACTTATTTAGGTATTCATTATATTTTTTTTACTTTCATTTTTTCTAATTCGTAAAGTAACCACTTCACTCAACTCAAGCTCGAGCAAGCTCAAGCATGATTAACAAATTATTCATATTTAAATAATTTGTACACAAAATACTGGACTTTATAATCTCTGGAATTCAAAGTAATGCTAACACTAAAAATAGTAAAGAACCTTACAAGTGATTTGATTGCATTTGATTTGCATTTGATAAGAAATGAGTATTTATTTAACAATAATTTTTAATACTTGCAAAATACAAAAATAGAAATTCGTAAAATAAACCTTTTAAAGATATGAATAAATGTATAATTGTATATAACTTAACAATAAATGATAATATTCATTGATAAATATAGGCAATATATAGGATATTAGATTGCTAAAGTCATCTACGCTAAATATTGGTACAGAACAATCTATTACATAGTGGACAGTTTTAGCAGAATTAGGCATTTTATGTACAATTAGTGATGTTTACACACAAATTTATATTAATTTTAGAATTTTATTTAGCGTAGGATGATTAATTTGTGATTTTATACAATTATCATGATCCTTTATCATGTACAGTTGTGATAGTTTGTTATAAAATAAATAATGTATTTAAAATTCCATATGAGCGAGGTATTGAAGTATATCTAGTAGTGTTTTGATTTGAATCCATTGCATTAGATTTTTTTACAAAATGATATTTGTTATTGTATATAAAAATAAATTCCAACACAACTGTACACGGTAATATTGCATCCAAATAAACCAATTTCATAAATAAATTATAATTTATATTATATTATCAAGTGACATTTCATGTGATGTTATTATAATTGCACTATGATCTAACTAAAGCTTATTTTTTTTGTTTAAATTAATCGATGTATGGATGACATGAGCAACTAATAAATTCATAATACTAATATATAAAAGTGAGTGTCAGTCCGATACAAAGACTACCCTTAGCAAGTCTCATATTGAAACTTTTAATTTATAATATAAGTGCATTATATAAAATAACAATTCCTATAAATACGACTAAATAATTACAATGTACTTATGTAATATAAGAGTAATCATCGAATTTAGACTTGTGCGATGTTTGAAAATAAATTGCATTGCCCCAAACTTAACAACTTTAATTTTTACACAGTCGATTTTGTTCATATAAATGTGTAAGCGTAAAATCGCAAGTATGTATTTTCACCGATTTGATTAATGATAGTCGACGGAGATTCTTAAATCTGCTACATTTGGAAACATTTTTAATTAATAACAACTTTTTTGTTAATAAAACAAAAATAAAACAAATATTTTATGAATATATAAATTTAAATTTGGCGGCAAAATTTGACATTGACACCTGTCATTATAAAGCGGGTACTGCACTTTGCATATTCGGTTTAGACTTAAGGTCACTAGTTAATTTGAATATTGCTCCCTGCTCCCGCAAATTGTAGATTTCTCAACAAATGAAGACAAATCTTTTAGAATTGCATATATTTAAAATATTTTCATATCATAATAATTTCATATCAAATCTACAAATTGCGGAAATTAGCAAATTATATACAAATGATTATTTATTTTTGAAGCAAAACTTCTTTAGGCGTGACTGAGGGGTAAATCGATATATTAGAAAAATGAGTGTCGCGGAAGTGAGAATCAAATTTATTATTAATAATTATTATATTTATATTTGTATAATAATAATTATTTATAAAAATATATATTTATTATTAATAATTTTAAAATAATTATTATATATAAAAATGAATGTTTATTACTAATAATTTTATGAAAATTATTATATTTTATACATATTTTGATTTGTTTTAATTTGATTGCGGTATCTGCCACAGCGACAAAGAAGTTTTACTTCACTACTTAGTTAAAAGCACTCATTTTTTTTAAATTATAAATTTATTATTATCAGTTTAATGCAAGCGTTGCCGTTGCGTTATGCCAGAGTCGTTTATCGTCTAGAAGTCGTTGTCGCTGGACGCGTCGCAGGCCTCGTTTATGAGCGCGGGCGGATTGTAGCGCGGCGGAGACAGCACCGGCCCGTGGAACGACTGCGATCGCAGGACGCTACTGTTAAAGTATTCGAATTATTAAATAATAATGGAATACCATTATTCAATGAAACATTTTTTAGTTGCTTGCTTTATGTATTATGCATATATTTCAAATGGTAAGAATATATTTATTTTTGGTTCATTTGTTTATGGAAATAAATAGTGAATGTTGTGATTTGAAGTTGACTATGCAAATAAATTGTCCCTGTAATAATAAAAACAATAAAAATCAAAGAATCAACAAAATAGAATAAATTTATAATATTCATAGTATTTTAAGTATAATTGTTATAAAATATTAGTACATAACATAAAAAGCCATTAGCATATTATAATATAGATTTATAAAGGCAATTAAATAGTCAGCGTATTTCTTATATTTAGCTCGTATAAATAAGCAAGGGTTAAAAGGCCGAAATCTTGATTTTTCATAAAACTTACGTAAACACTAACTGCTAAATGAAACCTATTACAATGGTTATATACAACATATGTATAAGTAAGACTGCTCCTACTCCACCATTTCAACTAACAACACGGATAAAATAAAAAAATATAGTTGAACTCCAATGAAAAACCAAGACCTAAATAAAGCTGAGATATTTAGAAGCGTATATATATTTTATTTTGTTTATAAAGCTTTTATATTGTTGACAATCGCTTTAAGTGGCCATCCGTTTCATGCCCCACAACATAGTAATGGAATGTGCAATTAAAAAATACAAATTTAACTTATAAAATTGTATTCTACAATCTACAGTATGTTACTAATTTAAAATTTGTTTAAAACTTATATTTATATTTTAGTGTAACAAAAGATATAATAATTAATGTCAAAGCGCTTCATTATCAATAATGGCCACTGAGTGTAACTTGTTTTTTTTTAAAACACAAAAAATATTTTCAACTATAAAATCCAGTACATTACTAAAAAATCAATTTAATTATTTAAATATACAATTTATTTTACGCATTCCATACTATTAAATCTTTATTTTCCCTTTCCTAAATGCCACATTGCCACTGCAATAACAAACTAACCTTAACAAGATGGCCGCCTTTGACACTTTATCCAGAATTGCATGCATTTTGACATCTGTCACGCTCTAAAATATATTAGAAATACGATTTAATCATTCCTATGACACCTATGTTAGGACATAAATAAAGTAAAGTTAAATAAATAAAATAAATTAGCATAACAGAAATCACTTTACAATAATGCAACATAATAATTCTTCTATTTGTGCTACTCAGCTTTCTAACTTGTATTAAATATATTATACGCTTCAATAATATGTAAATAGTAAATAAAAGTATATAGCAATACTTAAACTTTATTAAATTTTTGTCTATTAAAAATCTAAAAATATGCTATTTGTAGAAAAATAATTATTATATCGGTACATACACCAATATATGTTTCATGATTACCTTCTATATTCCAGTACCTAGACAATGCATGTGCGTATTAATAATTGTTAAATTTGTAAATAAAGAAGATTTACGATCTATGGTAGTATTAAATTTTTTTTTAAATAATATAGCCATTCTATCATCCTATCAGACATGTTACATGATGCGTAACTTCAATTGAAAAATACATAAATTTAAAAATATTAATAGCTGACAAATTTCCCGCTAAATTTGGAGCACAGATAACATTACTAATTTTATCACAACATACATTTTGCCTACTTAGATTAGACGCTTAATAAATAAAATCCTTTTTTTTATTTTATATATTTTTAATATTTACTTTAGTCCCTTACCTGGCACTTTTAACCGTTGGTTTGGTCTTCCCGAGCGCTGCCGCCTTCCGCGGGTCGTACGATGCTCGTCTCTTCCACTTCTCTAGCTCTTGTTTCTTTTGTTCTGAAATATTTTTTTTAATAATGATACATATATTGACGTTAATGTGTCAGTTGAAAAATTTAATATAAATTATAAAATTAATCTAATCTGAAATATAACTATGTCTTGTGAATCGCGAATATGTGCAGGATGCTTGAAAAAAATTGATAATAATAAATATATCAAATGTTGTCTGTGTAACCAAACTTATGATGCAGTGTGTGCTAACGTCTCCGAAAAGAAGATTAACTCAAAGGATACTAAAAATATTTGGAAGTGTCAAGCGTGTAAAAATAAGCAACCTAAAATTTGCAATACAAATACTCCAATTAGAACGATATTCGCGATCGTATCAATATTTTAGAGCAACACCTTCGACAAGAACTTAGAATTGAATGGTATACCCGAACATTATAATGAAAATATCCCCAACATAATTCAAAAATGTGCCAATGTTATTGGTCACAATATAGCTGATGATGACATTGTTCATTTCACGAGAGTAGCTAAACAAAACAGAAAGAGTGAAAAGCCTCGTTCAATCATAATAAAATTTAAAAATATTAGACGACGTGACGAATTTTATTCAGCAGTTTACAGATATAACAAAACTCATCCAGATAACAAACTTAATACCTCTTTGATCGGAATGTCCAACGAGAAGAAGCCAGTTTATGTTTCGGAGCATCTTTCTCCTGCTAACAAAGCTCTACATGCTGCTGCTCGTCAAAAGGCTAAAGAATTACAGTATAAGTTCACATGGGTTCGAAACTGCCGAATTTACGTTAGAAAGGATGAAAACTCTCCATTTATTCATATCAAAAATATGGATAGCGTTAAGTCTATTCGTTAATTTTATTCTACTAAATTATTTTTAGCATTAATTTTTAAATACTCTCTCAATATATTACCAAAATATTCGTGGACAACTCCGTTCTTTCAACAGAATTCTTTGACAAAAGGTATGAGGTATAACATGTATAATGGGTGATTTCAATCTCCCTAATTTGACTTGGTCTAAATCACCAGGTCATCCCATAAATTATACTTGTGAAAAATCTAAAGCTCTATTTGATCTCATTAATTTAACAGCATTGAAACTAATTCACTTACAAATCTTAACAACAAAATTCTTGATCTTGTATTGACTGATCAACCGGACAAATTTAATTTAGTTAAAGCTATGCCTATAAGCCGCCTCGATTGTCATCATCCTCCATTTGAAATTATATTTAATTATGGCAAGGTCACCTATCTTCTTGAAAATACTCCAATTACCAAATTGTGTTTTTATAAAACCGATTATATTAACTGTATTAAAGAATTAAAACAAATTGATTGATGTTTTAGGTCTTATATATCAAATATAGAAAATAATTTAATTAAAAATAAATAAAATAAAATAAAAAATAAATAAATATCAACAATTATTCAAAAAATCCCAAGGATTTGGGTTGGTGTCAGGCAGGCGAAGGCGAAGGCGAAGATATATTGTGCCGACCCCAAGTGTTTGAGAAAAGGGCAGAGAGATGATGATGATAATTGATAAAGCAGCAATCAGGTACATTTTACTAATGAAATTTATATTATGTATATGTATTTTTCATTACTTATCAAAATGCAATTTTTTTACTATGACCGAAAAAATGAGAAAGTTATTTTTTAATAAAATTATATTTTATCAGGTAAAAAAAATATCAATGATTACATGCACACATATCATTTCTTAACTTACCCATTTCATAGTGCTGAGCGCTACCTTTACTAACTTCTTTCTTCTCAGTATTATTCAAGACCCCTACGTAAGTCTTGCTCGGGTCTCGCCTCAAGAAGTTTTTGGGTGAATTTTCTGATTTATATTTGGATATGTCAAGATATCTCGGTTGTATTAGTTCTCTTGGCTTCTTATGGCTTATAGAAGTGGTTGACGATGACATTGAATAGTCACCGCTATACCTAAAATTATATTTAATTTTATATCAGACTAGCGGTTGATTCCTCATAGAAACTTTTATCCCCATTTGTGACCCCTTAAGGAACGATTTCCGGAATAAAAATATTCTACGTCCTTCCCAGGGTCTCAAACTATCTTTTTACCAAATTTCATCTAAATCGGTAAAGTAGTTTTTGAGTGTATTTCTTACGAACGTACAAAAATACACGTCTTTCCTGTTATAATATTTTATTAGTGTAGCTTTATTTTATTTTAATGTTTTTGGGAATAGAATTTTCTAAAATAATTTATTATAATAACGTAACATTAAGAAATATATTGAAAAAAGCTAATAAAAAAACCTAAAAAAATAAGTTACTTTAATAAACATCATTTAAAACATTTTATTAAAAGAAAAATAATTATAAAATGATATTTCTTATCTGTACCTCTGTTTAGGCTGTACAGGTGTTTTCTTTTGCCTCATCACAACTGGTGCACTTTCAGGACCACTCTCCCCTTCTGTGTCACTTGTATTTAATGAATTTTTTTCATGACTAAATATAGATGAATTCCTAGGACTGCTTCCATTTGTTGTCGAGTTGGTATCACTGTCGAGGATGAAAGTTTTGCGCTTGTCAATGGCTTCTTTGTAATCTGTGTCTTTGGTTTCGTCTATATGTTTGCGCTTGTCATCTCGACGTTTAAATTTTTCTTGGGGTTGGTTCACCTAAACAATAACAAAAAGTTTGCTAGTTTTTATATAATTAAACTTATTTCAATGTTTTAATTATATTAAATTGTTAACAATTTTATTTCTTAAAATGATAAACATCGTGTTTAGATTTAATATTGAATTAGCCCAGAATAAACGTTATCTAAAATTATTTTTTAATTTCGTTACATATTTTTCTATATGTTCAGTATAATTAAAAAAAACATTTGAATAATCAGTTACTATGAACTCTTCTCCTAGTACCTACGCGAAATTCTAACTTCAACATTATAAAATTAGTATGTATTTAGACCTTTTTAATATCCCATCGCTAGGCACAGGCCTCCCTTCTATAAAGGGGGCTCAGGTCATAGTCCATCACGCTAGACAAGTGCGGGCGGACTGCACATGTCTTTCGAAAACTTATTAAGTTCTCTCAGACATGCTGGTTTCTTCACGATGTTTTCCTTCACCGTAAAACAAGTGGTAATCATGTTAGAAATGATTCGCACATGAAAATATCAGAGGTGCGAGACCAGGGACTTAAATCCGCTTCACTCGGTTTTCCAGCGAGCGCGTTACCACTGGGCTATCACTGCCTATGCCTATACTTTAGTTTACATAGATTAGCCCAGAATAAACGTTATTTAAAATTTATTTTAATTTAGTTATCATTTTTTTATATATTTAATATTTAATTATTTTTTAATATACTTATATAGTTTCTGTATATAAAATTAATAAAAAAGTACCCTCTTATGAAAACTTATTTCTAATACACACCTGAAAGCCAGTAATGTACTCTCTCTCCAACATAACACAGCTATCGTTTCCCTGTCTCCGTCTATCTTTCCTCAGATCTAATATGTCTGAGTGAGTGGACGTGATCATTGGGTCTATTGGAAGCGTGATGTGATCGTCTTCTGTCTCTTCCGAAGAATAGTCCAGAGTCAAGTCAGCTATGTTCGTTGTGTGGAAAGATTGTGAACGGTGTACAGGTGACGAATGGCTGTAATGTAATTAAAAAAAATATTATATAACATGCATGTTATATTTTTTTGAAAAATAATTAAAAAATGCTTTATGTACTAATCTAATAAATATAATTTTATGACAAGATTTTTTTATAGATATATAGGTATAGTTTTTTGCATTAGGACATTTTTTGAGAGAGATAGAAAGAAAGTCTTTTTTAAGCGGGAAGAAAAGATGTTACTTGTTAAGTACTTCGGCTTAATGTATTAAGTTTTTATAGCAAATTTTTTATTAACGAGTAATATGGCGAGAGCATTTTTTGAGCGAGACAAAACTTTTCATAAATAAAAAATTAACATTAGAAAAAAATATTTTTTTCCCCTGGTTAGACCTTTATGATTCGGGACGGGGTAACAGTATTCCATGTCCTACCCCAAGAATATCCGTCTCCATTACCAAATTTCATAGAATCAGAATCTGTTCAGCAGTTTAAGCGTTAAAAAAGTAACAAACAAACATAGCTACATTCCATAACACTACATGAATTTGTAATTTAGCTCTCTATTTAATTTTCAAATATATTATTAAAAAGATATAACTTACCTAGGGGAACTCAAGTCATCCTTGTTACAGTCTTGCCGCCGAGCCATCTGCTGTTTTTTTCTACCTTCTTGCGCCGCTTTCATCGGGTCATATGAAGAGCGCTTCTTCCAATTGGAAAATTCAACTTCCTTTGTTGCTAAAGCTGATGAGGAACGATACTGGCTGGGTTTCTTTTGGCCTTAAATATAAAAAAGAGTATTATTACAATTATTTTATTATTGGGTGTCTTTGTATTTATAATGTCATCTAGAATGTGCCTTTTATTACTGACAGTAATCATAGTAGTTAGTGTTACTCCAGATCTATGTACTAAATTTCATCTAAATCGCTTCAACATAGAGGAATGACAAACACACACACAAATTATATTGACTTTCGCATTTATAATGGTGATAATGTGATTTCAATAAAGAAAAAAAGTCACGAATTTATTTTCGTGTTCAAGCATTAAAACGAGGAAAATAATGTATACATAATTTTTTTCTTATGATATAAGTATATAAAACATAATAAAATTAAAACCATTGTAATAAACAAGCAAGAGTGAATCATATTTACTAATTAAAATAACCTTAGACCCAAAATATTTACTTAGGTATACTGAGATATTATTACTTAATTTTATAATAAATTTATTATCATTATTAGGTATACATTCTGACGAACGCTAGATATAAAAAGAATGTGAATATTTTTATTTTATTGGGACTTTTATCTGATAACTTGCAACGCAAATAGTAAAAAAAAAAACAAACAGAGATAAAACATTAAATTATTTATAGTCTGCAATATGTATGCAATTGATCATAATAATGACAAAAGTCCGCACTTGTTTTGTTAAAACAATCATAATCATATCAAATCGATTAATTCAAGGGCAGCTATTGTTCTTATTGGCCGAGTGGCTAAATCTTTGTCTCAACCGTATTGTTTAATTAAAAGGATAGTTCCGTTGTTTATCTGTGCTCGTGTCAAGGAGACATGGCTGTATACAACGAAGCTATGGTAATAGTGTCTTTTATATCGTTTGTAAAAAAATTGTAAAAGTATTGTTTTAAAAATCGTTCTAAAAAATTTAAATTAAATTTTTTTATTGACTTTTTTATGCTATTCGTGGTTAATATAATGTTTTTGAAAATGAAAATTTTATAGGCTTACCAAAAACATTTAAAAATAAAAAACTCACCTTTATCGTGATTCTTGGGATGAACTTCCCTAGTCGAAGATCTAGATTTAGTCAGTCTATTTAGAACCGCCTGCCTCGTTGGTTCCGATATTCTTCGACTCTGGTGGTTGGCGGGTTTCGACCTTTCTTCCCTAGACGCTGGAGGCTCAGACATCCTACTATTCAAACCTCGCTCTTTACTGGTCACTCGAACCGAATTCCTAACTAACCCTGGACCAAATTTCCTTTGCATTTCCGGTGTGTTCGGACACCTAGGAGAGTTTGATGGTACTATAGACTTTAAATCCGGATACTCTATCCTACCTCTATGAAGCTGTCTCTTAAAGCGTAAATCTTGAGATTTGTCGAACGATCCGTTATCGGATTCATCTGAGTAATCTTTATACTCCTCAGACTGACCGCTCGATCTCCGCGAAACTAATCGAGGTTCGATGTTATTGTTTTTGTTGACGGTACTAAACGAACTAGATCGCTTAATGGATGTACCGAAAGCAGTGTTCGTAAAAGGTTTGTTAGGTTTCCCATCACTGTATACTCTTTGGTGATTTTTCTTCAGGTCTCCTTGACAACGTGTTGGATCGATTCTATAGCTCTTGGCCTCCAAGGCGTTGTTTTTCAAGACAGTCTTCAAACAAACCGTTTGGTTAGCATTATTCACGTCATTTGTGAAGATCTCCGCTGGATTTCGACCGTCAAATGATCTGTGCCTTGCATGAGTTTTCCTGTGTGGCGATAAAATTGCTTCGACATCATAAGGCGGTCTATTTGAAAGAGTTTTATCATCAGAACTATTACTAAGCAGACCTCTATCAGAGTTTGGACTGTTCATGTTAGAGTCATGTCTAGTGTCCTGGTCTAAAGATCTAGAGGCAGTGTTAAGAAGTATTTTGGAGCCATCCGGGACTTTCGAAGACCCAGTGATTACATAATGGCCTGGACTTCTCAAAGGACTGCTATCCCCTGATGTATCTTTTTTTCTAAGACGATAGTTTAGTGAATTTGATCGACTAAGTTGTGATAGTGGAAGTCTTGAAACCAGAGTTTTTTCACTCATAAGACTGGTGGTGAGTGGATTGGGAATGTACGAAGAATTGTTTGTTCTGGAGGAGTGCAGCTTAGCTTGCAGGTTAGTGATAGCATTTTGTGTTTTCAGCAAATAGGATTCCGTATCTTGTGGAGGTATAAGATCCTGTAACAAACAAAGAAATTTTTATGTAGACAAAAAATCTTTTCTTAAAGTATAGTTATAAAATAAAATATTTCATCAACAACTATAAAAAATGTTGGGCATCTACTTGACGTAGCAACACAAAATTAGGCCAGACACTAAAATAAAAATTTAACCTAAATGCTCAACTTTAGCTTGCAAATGAAAGGTTTATGTAATATACATTTCGCAACTATCATACCGCTTAGCCTTATTTTAGTGTCTACATTTCGTAAAGGTGCACTAATTGTGCGTGCACGAAGGCCTCTCATCATTATAGTACCTACCATTTAAGCAAAATCTATGTAAGATAAAAGTACCACTGTTTATTTGCATATTAATGATCTTCCAGACATTATTAAATTTCCAGATATACATATTATATAATGGTAAATTGTCCTTCTTAGTGTAATATTGTAAGCAAAACCATCTCACGTTTAATTTATCTACAAGAAAATTGACGAATTCAAAGATAAATTGTGTATAGGAAGTATTAGGAAAGTAAAATAAACCAAAAATAGAGAAAGGTATTTTTGACCAAATCAGAGATTTTACTATTAGCCATTGTAGCTTCTACGTCAAATAAAATTGATGGTATCAAATTTTTGTAATTTCATCCAGACTACCACTTTGTTAAAGAGTTAATTCGATAGAATATTATTTGATATGATATCATATAGAAAGATGGTTCGATAATATTGAATTTTATTAGATTTTACTTATTATCAAAAAAATACTACGCGGCCGAAATTGCACGTAGAAGCTATCCTAATTATTCTCTCTACAACCGCGGACATGCCGGCGTGTCAATTAATAATAGACTTGTTAGAATTTTAATAAATTTCTTAGAAATTTACCTGGAGGTGTTAAAATTGTATTATCTTATAGCGCACAGCTTATAAACCCTTAAAAGTTATTCACCTTTAAAGACTTTAACCGATAATAAACGTATTAAACGTGTGAGTTCAAAGTTAGCGGATCGAATCCACGGTCATTGGACTGTGATCGCTTTAACTTATCGAGGTTGAAATGTATTGAATCCGAAGCTGGACTCAGTTATACCAAATTGGGGTAGCGACGAAATTAATTAAAATTGATTACATTCAATGTACAGAACATATACATAACCTACGTTAAATAATAAAGCTGCCATGCGAGGGGCTTAGATAAAATGTAATTCTACAATACGAATTGAAATTTTAAAAAATGTATTGAAATGGCAAATTAATCGTTGTCATAATATGTCATTCTCATGGATATTATTTTTAATATCTATTCTTTACCGATTGCAGAATGGCATCTTGTCTAAGCCCCCGGACTAGACAAAAGAATACAGTGTCTATGAAAACTGTCACATTAGACACTGACACTATCGACTCTTCGTTTATGCAAGCGGTTGTCAAGGACGCGATGCCGGTTTGCAAAGTACGAGTATGGTACAGCATTTACCCCATTATGATAATGCTTTAATTTACACTAGAAAACGTTGTATTTTATAAGGATATAAAATATATGATCGTTATAAAAGAATCACGCCAAATTACTCTAAAATAGACCTAATAATTTCTATACTCTCATAGATAGGCACTCTCAAGGAATCTTTACTCTTTTAAGCTCCAGAGCGTAAGCTCTGTACCAAAATATAGAGGAAAACAACATACAGACCAGACAGATGCATTAACACATTTATAATACTAGTTTCTTAGAAACACTCACAATATCAACTTTACATTCTATACTTAATATTTATGTCATAACGACACGGTACAAACATTAAGTTTGCCACATTGTCACGATTGTGATTTATCCAAATAGAATCGCTTAGTTTAAGATTGCATTATATACACAAATATACTCATTTGTAATGACGACATAAGACATTTGTTGGCCCACTATTTAAGTTTACGATCTTTAACAATATGGTGTAATAGTTTGTGACTCTATTTACTATAAGAAAAAAATCGGTCAAGTGCGAGTCAAATTCGCACACGAAAGGTTCTATACCGTACATGTAGTTTTTATTAATATGAATTTTACTCTACCTATATAACTTCGATGATTGATTACGAACGTTAAAAAAATTTTACTTGTATTTTTCTATTATTTTTATTTATGTTTATCATAGCTTCAATAGAAATGCATACTTTGTGAAATTGTCAGCTCTCTACCTATTACGGTTCATGAGATACAGCCCGCTGACAGAGAGACGGACGGCCAGCGGAGGCTTAGTAATAGGGTTCCGTTGGCACCCTTCGGGAACGGAACCCTAAAAAAGACACTGTTTTAAACATTTTATTGATCTCATCCATTTGTATACATATATGGATAGCGTAGTACTTGGACACAGTTCCTATTAAAGAACATTTTAAAAGATAAGTGTTGTTTCATTGGGTTTACGAGTTTATACCTAAACTAGCAAATTGTGTATGTATGTCCTTAAGTGGCTATCGTATTTTTATTATTATTTACATCATACTTTATTTTTCATTCCAAAAGAATAAACTTTCTGGAACTTTGCATTAGAATAGTCGTCATTTTAAATCAGAAAGATTGTTTCCAAGCTCTGTAACTAATTTAAAAAAAAATACACATTTTAAACCCCATATTTACTCCTTTGGGGATTGAATTTTCCAAAGAAATGCCAAAAATTTTGCTTTTGTACTTACATGACTAGATTAGCAACGCGGACAAAAGTTTGTACTAGGTAGGTACTAGTAGGTATTGCAATTTCAGATTAATTTTACTCAGTGCTACATTAAACATTATGTCCATTAATTAATTATTATTGAAATAATAAACTGTACTTAAATTATATTTTACTTTCGTTGTATATGGTTTATACGGTATCATGTTTGTTTATAGGTACTTCTGTCAACTAGCAAAAATTTTGATGTCAATTTCAATTTCCAATAGAAGATGCTTCATAGGGGGAGAAAGTCTTTGTTCTCACGGGACAGATATTTAAAAATTCGATTCAAATCCCACATAATACACGTAGGATTTGTACAATCCAAGGGATAATATTACTAAAATAATACAGTTGTTTGATAGTAAAATTTCAAACTAATCTATACATATAATAAAATTTGTAATTAAGCCGAATCTGTACATTAAATATTTTTTGGAAAATCTTATTGAAATAAACATTATTATCGATACAGAGGCCGAATCTATAGTTTTTAGAATTTTTGTCTGTCTGTGAGGTACCGGATCATGGAAAAACCACTGGAAGGATTTTGATGAAATTTGCTATGGTGATAGCTGGTTATCCGGGTCAACATATACCGCGGGAAAATATCTCATTTCTGAGAAAAAATGCAAAAACTGCAATGTAAGAGTATACTAATATGTGAAACCTAAGAATTTGGTTTTTGGTCATCTGAACGCGGGCGGAGCCGCGGGCAATGCTAGTCGATGATATTATATTTCATGGATGATTATTCTCTTTTCAAAAAAATATTACTTCTCTTTACTGTTCTATTTAAACAGCTCTAAACGATGCTGTAAACAGTTGTAAATAACATCCTGTGTATACAATGTGAAATTACTAAAAAAGAAGATATAATTGCAGATTGCTTAGCTAAAAATAAACTTCTAGGTAATATCTCAGTAATCTAGATAAATCTTTAATTTTGGCTAGGTATAAGTACAAACAGTAGTTCATTAAATTTTTACTACATAACATCTTAGACCTGTTGAATAACTCCTTTAAACGTGCGTGATCAGTGCATATGATTTTGAGGAAAAGATACTAAATCTAGGCCGATTTTAAGACTTTTCATTGCAGGTTAAACGAATGTAAAACGAATTATATTGGATTAAGACATTAAATGTTATCGTCATGTTTTAAATGTATATACATACATAAGTATTATAAGGCTGTATCGACGATTGTATGTTTTGCTTTATTTGTCACAGTTCAATTAAAACCTTTTCAATTATTCTCACAATCATTAGTTAAGTTCAACACTAAATAGGTTAACTAGAGACACAAAGAACGGTGCCGGTACAGTCCACTTGTACTTTCACCGACCTTCCGCTTGACAATCGCATTCCAACTAACTGTATAGAATATAGATTATAGTTAAAATCTTAATTAAATACGTTTTACTTCGTAGTTAAAAAGTAATCTATACATGTTAATAAAATAACGTTATTTAGACTATTCTTAGAAATGCGAAAGTTTGTATGTTAATTACTTTTTTATACCTAAATGGCTGGACGGATTTGGATAAAATGTAGTAAGTACATAGATTATAAATAATTAATAAATAAATAAATATGTCGGATCAGTAACACACAGCACCATCTAATTCCATGGTAAGCTACGAGGCTTGTGTTATGGATAGGTACCAGATAGTTAATACACTACACATATATAACTTTAAATATATACATACTATAAATGTAAAATAAAGTATGACCCAGAGTATGGCCCATAGTAGCACATAGAAGCGAGAGTAAATGGCTAGTTTTAATAATTGTTTTAATTTCGAATTACTTATACAAATTTCTACAAAGCGCAATAAATATTTCTTGCAGAGAAATCTAGCTTCAATGTTAATTTTTTCATCATTTATTATTTTTACTGGTCTAAGCGAAAGTGTTACAGAAGCTCGGTGAAATAACTTCCCTTCGCAATTCTTTATATTACCATTTTTGATTATTGCGCTAGAAGTCTTTTTTTTACCATGACAATAATAGATAAGTGTTGCAGATAAAATAATAAATTATAAACAACTCTAATATAAACAAAAATAGAGTTCAAATTGATTCACCTATTTTTATATTTTACAAAAATATTCGCAAAAACAACAAAACTAACACTTGATAGATAAAAAAAAGAAAAACTGCAAATCATATAATACCTTATCTCGATTATATGATGTCAAACAAAGCCCGATATGACTCAATCATTACTCATGCATAGGCTGAACTTGAAGCGACCTTTGACCAAAAATGTACAACCTTGCAAACAAGAT